TTTGATAGAAGCTAGAGTCAGTCCTTCATCGAAATCCTTACGTTATTTCATCGGCCAAATGCTTTCTATTGAATGAGCCTCTTAGTTCCATGGCAGTTGATACAAAGAATATAAGGGGATTTAATGGTAAGAGCTCTTTTTATAGCAAGAATTGTGTTTTTGGTATAGTGGTTGTCTCATTCTTAAGCGTAACATTTGTTTCACCACTCCACGAAAAGTGCCACCATTGTGTAACATTGTAACATTCCGATTTGTACTACAGCTTTAGCTTAACTAGGGTTCAATGCCGATTTGTGATAACCAGATCAGTCGCGTTGGCGAGTGATTGCTGATGACACTGTTAGATGGAAAACAAACTAAGAGACAAGAAAAACGAAGGACCCGCATGATGTGGTGGTGAACGCGTTAGCCTCCAGGTGGGGTAATAGCAGGTTCGATCCCCACCGCGGACACCTGCGGTACACAGTTTTGAAAATATCTCAGCAGTTCTAACTTTGTCTTTGACGCCTAATAAAATTTTTCGCGTCAGTTTATTATGTGAAATACAACCACAATTATGCTGACGTATTTGGAAAACTCCGGACCGTAGGCGTATACCTGGGGGAGTGGACGCGCTATCGTTTCCGGGGGTTAACGCATTCACAGCCAAAAAAAGCGGGCCTTTCGTTTCATCTGTTTCAGAGCTGGTTTTATATCTATCAGTTCCATCATCAATTACCTGTCAACGGGATTGATCTGGAGAGCACAAATCGGCATTGAACCCAGTAAACCTGAGGCTGCTTGTAACTCAGCAGCTTTCTTTAAAATTTTTCAAAAAGGTACGACAGAGTCATCTAATTGAACTATCAAACGATTGAATGAGGAGATCGCTGCACTTTTCAAGATGTTGTGGCAGAATCTTGTGTAGATAGAAAAGTTCAAGAAACATTTCGCATCTGACCTTTGAGACCCCGGTGCTTTCGCTGATAGTGCAAAAGATCTTTCGTGGCCTATTTGACATGGCATGTCATGATTTACGCATCATATATACTTGTTACTCTTCCTGAATGCGGCGAGATTTGGCTTCAGGACTTGTCAGTACCGGTTCTATACCCGTAAACTGTGGGTTCCATCTAGGTCCTGCAGCTTCCTTGACCATTCGTAGTCGGTTCAGTCAATATATTATTTGATCCTAATAGTTTTCGCCAATAATTGTGGTCTAGTTACTTCAGTTATTTTCTCATTTTGTGACTTAAAGTGAACATAAAATTTAATAGATGATTGTAGATATTCACTGTTTGCTTTCGGAAGTTCTCTGTTACCACAATGAAACGTACTATTTGTTTTCGACATTCTAAATCCGCTAGCGATTCCTTGTACTCTGTGTTGGATTTACTGCCATTCATATTAGAAAGAAGTGAGATGACTGGGTGTTAGGAGACAGGAAGGGATGACCACTGTGCTCTTTATTGCTTTCTATATTTGTCGAGTGACTTCACGACTCTATAGCTATAAAGCCGTAAAGGCGCGAATGTTTCTGGCATATCGGCCACGATGGTTCGTCTGAGACGCTCGAAAAGCACCGTATCGGTCAAATCTGTGATTCTGTGAGTTGCTGTGAGCTTTTGTTCTTGAATTCATCGCGACTGAGACTTAAAGTTTGCTGACTGATTTATTTTTTACATAAAAAGTAAGGGGGTGCCTGTAGCGCATTGGTCGGAGGCGCCCAGACTAAACATAGTATCGATCTCTGTGCCCCAGCCTCACCAAGCCTTCCATCCCTCTGGGTTCGATAGATTAGTAGCAGACTTATAGCAGCACTCGCTGGACACATCGGTAGGCCACCGCTATTCATTGTAAAAGGCCAGATGTGCATTCAATCACCTTCAATGATGCTTAATGAAGTCGAATGCATGGCGCATCCCTCAGGGATTGATCAACGTCGAGAGATTTACCCTATGTTTTTCTTATAAAAAGTCTTGTCTTTAAAAGTTGTTAGAAGTGATCAGCGCTAAGTGCATCGAGCATCGAGGTGTTCAGCTTCATTTGGCCATTGCAGGTTTTTGTATGGTTCTAGTGAATTACCTAACACGAGTGGGGCTGCCATCGTATTCTTGATAAGAAATCAGTTGCTTGAGAAGTGATACTGCACAACATAGCATACATCTATGAAATCTCTCGTAAGAAGTTTACCTGTGTCCAACAGCTATAAATTTTCCGTCGCAGAATGTTCTCTACATTGCTTCTCCTGAGCATCCTTTGAAGTTCTCTTGTTCGTCGACGGCGTCCTCATAACTCTCTCTTACACGATAATGAAAAAACTCCCACAAAGGAAACTCTGCTTTCTGAGATAGCTTTTTCAGCTCGTTGTTTAATTGTTGCTGTTGTTTCTATCGACAACATTCTTTTTTGTGACTTCAGGACCGTTAAACTACCGCAGCACCTCCAAAACAACATGGTCGAGAAGACGTTTGTGAGTTTCAGTTTATATTGTTTATTAATCAACCTTCATTTTACTTCAAACCACTGGACTCTGAGTGCGATTTAACCAAGTTTCCGTAGAGCTCTTTCTCAAATCACATCTTTTTTTATGAACACTTTTCTAAGTGGTCTTTTTTCTTACATTTTTTTATTGCTGTCGTTGATCCAGTCAGTCTCTTTGTCGTTCCTTTTTTATTGGAGAGTACATAACTATAGCTCTTTCAAATTCCTCCATGACTGAAACAACAACACATTCTGCTGAATCACACTATGCTAAACGACCTCTGCTCGCAAGTCGATGATACGTTCATACAGCAAACAGCTCATTCCATCTCCAACACGTCGACACGATTTGCTCATTATAAGTTACAGATTTGAAGAACTCCTATTTCTTATCTAGTTCTTAGCTTTTCGTCGACCCATGCGGTTTTGCTGGGTTTGTAAGCTTGTGTGATTCCAAACTTGATAGGGTGTTTGCTATCAAAAGCATGCATGCCATGTACTATCGATTGGAATCAGTCTGTAGTTGGATTTATGGCTTGTGCTCAAGCAAACTGCGACAGTCAAATAAACGAATCAAGGAGAGGCTGCGCTGGTTCTGCTCGGGAATGAACAGATAGCTAAGCGTGGTAAGTTTGAGTCTAAGAAGCAGTTTCACGAAGAATAACAAAGGACGACAACAAGCATGTTGTAGTCATGTCATGGTTTAATAGGGACCATTAATCTGCTCATTTTTTTGGCTCCTATACTTGGTATTAATAAATTTATTGGAGTAGTTGAAGAATTATAACTGCTTTAACAACCCCTGTCATGAGCTTTTGTACACATCAAGATCACCATGGATAGAAGAGAGGAGAGGCCAGCGGCCTGGATAACATTTTCAAGTCCGTATACTTTCATTATGCTTTCAGTGGATTGGTTGGTGTTTGTAGACACCAAATGCTGCATATCTGCTTTTAACTCTTTTAATGATTTGGTGCTTTGAGAGTGCCATTTCGAAATCCTATTCTTTGGAAGAAGGAAGAGAGGAGAGGCCAGTGGCCTCTATAAATCCCCATTTTTCAAGTTCATATACTTCCATTGATGTGGACACGCCCCCGCCCACAACTCTCTCGAGCTCCCACGCCCCCATGAATGTGTCTGGCTCCCAGACAGCGAACGTCTTCTGCAGTTTTCCGTGAAGGGAAAAGTACTAGTAGTTTTATATTTCTGTTACTGTAATGAATGCTTGAGCTGTAGTATTGGGAGCTAATCAGATGTTCTGCGCTACTGCAGTCCCCTAACGCTACCGTTTCTAAATCAGTGTTTCAGCAGCATCCGTCCCAAATTATTCCTACAGCTGCTTTTTTGGTGGCCATCTTATTTAATTGTTGAAGTATTACGGAACTCCATCTACAACAGAATCGACAGGACCGAACGACCTTTCACTTTGTCGTGCACGTCTCCTCGACGTGCCTCATCAACGGCGACCGTGTTGGACGTTTCCAACCGTATGCCAACATTATGGCACTGCGCCAAGTACATTGTGAATATTTCGTACTTTTTTACCACTTTCATTTTTGCCAGAACAAGAAGATACAGAACAGTGATCTATGAGTACTTACCAGATCATGACAGTTTGTATCTTCGGATTTCATAGAAAGAGTTCGGATTTTGCGTTACGAATCCTCTTGTGTTATGTAAATTTGAGGCTACGCTCTTTTGTCATCGCATTCTAATGCTTTCAATCAATTCTTGCATTTTCTTTAATACAACACACTTGGTCGGGTTGAAATTACGAAGTAAAACATTAGCAGAACGGTAACTTGTAGAGCAGCAAGGGAAACATGAAAAGTGGTCCTATTTGGTTACATCCATGATGTTCAATTCTCCATGAGGAGCTGCTTTTCGATTCGTTCACTACTCTGCTCTTATTTATAACTATGAGAAGAACCATTAGCCTCAGCAATCAATAATATTTTCTATCCCGATATAAATTTATCGACAAAGTTTTCTCGTAAAAATCTCACAATCGTCGCGATAGATTAAAATCTTGCAAGGGGGTTAGGCTTAGAAGCTCATCGTAACTCTGTGATTTAAGTATGTTTACTTTATTAGCTTGTAGCTTCTATTATTTTCCAACCGCCTTGAGTAAAGTTTTTTGGAGCGAAAAATGAATTTTGTCGTTTTATATGCACCACGGATAGTCTTCTCAAAATCATATTTGTAAAGAAAAAGCAGTATGTTTACTTTTTTATTTACTGCCTACTACAATTTTTATGGCAGGATATTATGCGAAATTAACCACAACGATGCTGAGAGATTCGCAAAACTTGGACCCCGGGCCAGAACGAACCACGATTTTCCTTTCGAGGAGCTTGCGCATTACACACTGCGCCACGGACGACCTTGCTCTGCGTTTCTCAGCTAGTTTTTCAAAAAGCAGTATGGCTACGAAACAATCACATGCAGCCATTCACAATAATTAAAAGACCATCTACCAACACAATTTATTGCTAAAATCTCCAAAAGCCTGCGTTGACTGCATTTCCTCACAGCACATGACACCGTTTTGGATCTCTTTTTTTCAGAATATTCCATACCGTAGTAAATTGACGGAGAAAATCGAGCCAGGTCAAACGCTGATCATTCGTGGGAGAACCGCAGAAGATGCTAAGAGGTTGGTGTAGGTAAAATAGTACCAGCCCTAGGGAATGCGCCATCTCGGAACATTGCAGGTTCAACATTAATCTCCACAAAGACAGTCCAGACTTTAGCGGAAACGATGTACCGCTGCACGTAAGTGTACGATTCGACGAGGGAAAGGTGGGATTTTCTCGTTTCATTCAAGTAGTTTCTGGTTGGGTTCTGTCAAATGTGGTGATGTTTAGATCGTAAAAAACCGCCACCTGATCTTTATTTACATTCGTGACACAGAGTTTTGTTTCCTTCAAGTTTACATTGCGGAGAAACAGTGTATGACTTTTGGCTGCGAAGATAAACACTTTAAAATTCTATAGGTCTAAAGGAATCTGGGCTTTTGGGTCTTTTTGCTAGAAATTCTTTTTTAAAATATGCATTCTAATTTTCTGAACTACTGATATCCATGAAATGAGTCACGCAATTTCCCTTTTTCAATGTTCGACTACCTTTCTTCCCGAGATTAGTACAATGAGTTTTCCTCTATCCGAAAGAAAGTCCTTGAGCTGAGGTAACTTTTGAGGAGACTCGTCAACCTTTGTTTATGACAGTGTAGGGGATTAACATGGTTTTGTGAAGTTCTGTTGCGAAATATAAACAAAGTGAACTAGCTCCTCATTCCTTTAGCGCATCGCAGACACGGCAGAATCGCTTGCACAAATGACCTGCTACCTTTTATGTTTCTGATGGACCACATTGTTGAACGGTGCTGAGTAGGTGTGGGAGGCGCAGCGATTGAATGGCAGCCAAAAATGCACTCGAAAATAATTTCGATTAATACTATTTAGACTATATGAATTCTTGGCGCGAAATTCGTGTGACTTCTACTTTTTTCACGTTGACAGAAAAAAGTACCAAGAAATGCCATGAGGTTTCATTTGCCATTTTTGAAAAGTATTGCTTGCCTGGTTACTGGAATTTTCTATTTTCGGTCTTTGAATGAATAACTTGTCTCTTCGTTGGGAATTAATAAACATATTGTGGAATTTATTTACTCCTAACATTACCAAAAACACGTCTATTCGAAGGTGAGTTATTTTCGTAATCGACTGATGAACAGTTTTGGGATTGATGTTCATATTATTGCCAGAAAGGTTGATTTTGGTGCTCTTCGGTCATTAACGGAGGAAAAATGAGCGCTGTTATAAGGGAATTGCTTGTGCACGCTGAGCGGGCTAATTGGCCTTGTTCTCCATTGTCGTCATTCACCGTGATCTCGCCGATGTTTTTGTGGGAAAAGTAGAGGATACGAGAATATTGAGTAGATGTCAAGCATGAGAAAACACTTGGAAACGATGAGTGGATCATCGACTATGTTCGTTTTTCATCGGTTTGCATGGAGGCAGAAGACGAAACACAGTTGGGCTGAGCGCGTTTCCGTTATTCGGCGTTTTTTTTTTGGTTTACGGATTTCCACGCAATGCGTTTTTTGCACTTCGACGGTACGAGACGAATTCCCGATTAGAGGCTCATATACTCGTCGTAGAATTCCTGATTAGCACTTGAGTATGTGATGGGCGTACGAGCATCTCTGCTTTCCTCATCTCATCGTCTTTCATTTATTTTCTCACTGCTTTTAGCAATTTGCCTTCCTATAAGGTCGAATTTGTTTTGGAATAAAATGGGTATGATTTTGAAAGGTAGTAGTGGTATTTTATCCCTTCGTTTGCATCCCTGTCAGTAATCCTTGTGGATAAAACATTAGCTGCTAGTACTGCACAGTTATCAACCCTGGTGTATTACCTGTTCATTTTCCAGTACATCCTCTCCATATCCTCCATATTCCACGCTTCCTATTCTTCCTTTTAGCAACTATTTTCTAGAACGTGCATCAATTTATTCGAAACTGTTTCAGAAAAAGGCCAAATCACCGAGCACTCACATTTTAACAAAATTTGTCCCCATTTTTATATAACAGAATAGTAGAGTTTCGGTTAAAATGAGTTCGATACTTTATTTCATTGAGCTAACGTTTGGTGTTCGTGAGGACATCAGCTTTTTAAAAAGCAGTGGTTTTGCAGCTCGTGTTCAATTCGTACACGAAAGGAGCTTGGGGTAAAGAAGAACGGCAGAAGAATCCCTTGAAAAAAGGCGACGGATTCGACATTCGAATTCGAGCACACGACAACAAGTTCACCATCTGCGTTAATCGCGTGAGTCCATTGTGTTTGTTCGTCTGCGAGTTGAATCCCAGAAATCTCAAAGAGCAAGGATGTGCAAGTCTTCCATTCCTTTGTTGTTGCGGCTAGCGACTTAAGTGATCGGCGTTCCAACGGCGAAACATTCTGTGCGCTAAAAGCTAAAATGCTGAGTTCGGGAGGTTGGAGCGATTGCGGTAACCTCATGAGACCTTGTTGGCTTCAACGTTGACATTTCTAGTGGGTTAGTGTTCGGAAGAAACATTTATGGTGGTACATCTTCTTAATGACACCTCCCTTCAATTTATTCAAGGCATTCAATTGAATGATGAAGCCAAAGTACCTCCTCCCTACCGAATTTTCATGTGCTCCTTCTGATCAGACTGCATTTCCTTTGAGTTGGGTTTTCCAAAAGATATTTTTTTGTAAAGTCTGCTTAATCTTTTAAATAACTTTGCATAATACTTTGCGCTTTGCGTGGTAGTTGGAAATCTGAATAAGAAATTCCCACTAACTTGCGAAGATGTTCGAAAATTGCTGGTCAGATTCCGTGATACACCATTTAGGAAAAGGAAACAGGATACATTTTTTATTACTTGATATTTCCGGTCGCGATGAAACCTTGTTTTTCTTTCATATTAAGGTGGTGCGTGATCGTTTTTATGATCGCGAATAGGCTCCAAATTAAAGCTTAATTCTATGCAGTTTCTGTTCTTGAGTTCCACTGTTTTCCTAATGGCATTGGAAGCACGTCTCTGTCATCATCAACCAAATTACCTACAAAAAATACTCGACACAACAGTTGTGTCCAGCAAATGGTCTCATTTGTTCTGCATAGTTTGTACGGCATTCTATCTTCACACCTGTGCGAATTGTTTTTTTCTTTATTTCAGAAAGAAGTGAAATCATTCGAACATCGCGTTCCACTGCAGCACGTCACCCATCTGAGCATTGACGGCGATGTGGTGCTGAACCACGTGCAGTGGGGTGGCAAGTACTACGTAAGTCGTGTGGAGTGTATTCACTGTTCCTGATGAAGTCGTGAAATGCCATAAGCGTTTCCTAATGCGGCTTGTTTTAGCCGGTCCCATATGAGTCGGGCATCACTGAGCATGGCCTCATTCCCGGGAAAACGCTCGTCGTTTATGGGACGCCAGAAAAGAAGGCTAAGAAGTATGGTTACGGTGTCTAGAAATACTTTGCACAATCCAAAAGTTCGAATATATGAAAACCTTGGTGCCATATTTCGACATGAAGCACTTCCATAAATTCTAAAGATGGAATATTTTAACTTAAAAGAAGTCGTAGACATATTCTCTACCTGTCTATTATGCATTCTATTTTCTCTTATATCTGTGATCTAATGGGAGCGTGTGGCGCAATGGTCGGAGGTGCCCTGCAACACACAAATGGGGCCGATCTCTCCCCACCCTCTTCTCCCTCTGGCCCACCAAGCTCACCATCCGGAGTCGGCAAATCGGTACCAGACTTGTCTGGGAGGATAGCTGCACTGGCTCGATACATCGGTAGCCCACCGCGAGCCATTGTAAAGGCCAGACTTGCATTCATTTATCTGCAGACGATACTTAATGAAGTCGAATGCATGGCACATCGCTCAGGGATTGATCAACATCGAGAGCTTTATTTTATCTGTGATCTCAGGATGCACTGTACCAGACTGCAAATTGAAAAGAAAGGAAGAAAGGCGTTACAATTGTTTCATGTTTGGAAAGAACACAGTGGTATTTATATTCGTATTTGTATCCGCGTTAAAATCGTCCTTTATTGAGAAGTCAAGACATAAAATGGTTTCAGGTTTCCCAAAATCTTGCGGTGTTTTGATGACTAGCGTTCTTCTTTGTAAGTCGATGATGCAGATGAATTGTTAAGCAGATTTAGCCTATTTGGGGAACACTCCGCACTATCATCTCACCGCTGTTTGCGCTCAGGATATTTCGAGGTCCTGAGATTTCGCGGAGCTCGTCATCGAATTGATCATGCGATCCTTATCGTCATCCAAAGTACATCCAATCTGACGTTGTAATAATATTACGTTTCCCAGCAGAAAGGAAATTCATATGGGTCGTTTCGTATTTTATGCGTCGTTTTATTCCTTTGTGTTTTTGTTTATCACTACACGTCCAGCCGACACGCGAATCCTGACGTAGTGAAAAACACTCGTAGAGAACCGATGTAGTTGAAGCAATCCAGAGACGACGCATGCAAGAGTTATGGGCACACTTTGCCCTATGTTATAAGAAACGAATCATTGACGTATAGTTGTCTTGTTATGGCTGAATATCCCATGTCGTTATTATTAATATCATTATTATTATTATTATTATTATTATTGTTATTATTATTACTGTTATCATTATTATTATCATTACCATTATTATTATTATTATTAGTACTATTACTATTATTATCGTTATCTTGTTACTTCTCATGCAAAGGTCTAAATGAGTGTTGAATGTGCGTGTTTAGTGCTGACACTGTTTAGGAGTGAACCACATAATCACCGAATACGTTGGCTTTATTGGGATTTTCATTTAGATTCAACATAAATCTGCTGAAGAAAAACGGCGACATTGCTCTGCATTTCAATCCCCGATTCGACGAAAAGGTGCGTTACCCGTTAGTTCGGTGAACGTGTCGGATCTGAACTTGTATTTATGGACCTTTTAGGCAAAGGGTTTCATCTGCGGCAAAATCAAGCCAGGCGTATGTTTGAATCGATTTTGATAGTTGTGTTGTGTTGTGTTGTTATGAGTTCGTTTTGTTCTCACTAACAAACACATGGAACTTCCACGCAGCAGCTTCCTGCTGCAACAACACAAGCGCAGTGTTTGACTTGACAACTGAAACCGACCTCAAATTCACTAACACCGGTTTCCCATCCGTGACTGGAGAGAGTTTGTTGTCTTCACGCACTTATCTCTGTCTATCTCTTTTTTGCTGCATCCATAGACAGATGGATTTGTTCGTAAAGACAGCAGATGGGATACTAAACATTGATTTCCAGCATTAACACTACATTACTAGACCATGTTATGCCTAGTTCGTTCGTTCTTTTTTTTGTCAGATGTCGATTTTTGTCCGTACTCTGTGCTGTTCGTCCCGGTGCCTTCGAGCGTAACATCATTGCGCTATTACCGAGCGGAAATTTCAAACAAAATTCTCATGAGAAATTCTTTGCGGCAAAAGCTATACGCCTTTATCCTATCCTCACTGTTTTTTCAAAGGATAGAAAAGGGTTGAATTTTGAGTGCTTCGCAGTTTTGTCAGGGTCCTGAACTGTTTTTTCTAAGTTTCTTTAGACCCCTTGTGACAGTGCTCAGTTTTGTGTTTGTGTGTAGTACTGACTAATAACTAATATTTGAAGATTCAGAAATGCTCATTTTTTAGTGCGTGGTCAGAAATTCGCTTGTCAATGGAGAGTGGGGAAATGAGGAACGTGAAGGCAAGAATCCTTTCGAAAAAGGTGTAGGCTTCGATCTGGAAATCAAAAATGAGGAGTATGCATTTCAGGTGGGACCCCAACAACACTGTTATTTCCTCAAAGCACTCACCATTCCCTTCTTCACTGGGTGGAGAAAATTAGCCTCCTTCTTTCAGTTTTGAACTGTCTTCACTTTGACGAATTTAACACGATTATTTTCTCTTCAAAAGTGCAATGAATTGGCACACCATGCGAAGAGAGCTACTCACCCGTTTGAATTTGCTCTGCTGAAAGAACCACACCCGCAGCAGATGCACGTTCATCTGCGTATTGTGCACGTTGTTTACGTATACTTTTCATAAACCTACATATTTAAACACTTAAATGACCAGTATTTGAAATCTTTGCCTTGAAACTGTCTTCCTCATATATGATCTGATTTTCCTGTAAATTTTACAGACTTTGAGGATTTGTGATCTGCTTTACTGACACCTTCGATGTTGACAACGGCAGTTTTCCGTATGTCGTGAAATAGCCGTGTTAGGCAGGTTTTCTTGACAGGCTTTCTCTGGTTGTTGTGGATCGGTGCGAGGTTTGTGACTCCTCCAACTTTGTGATACCGGATTCCTCCAGGGTTCTTGCGGTTCCTCTGACTTCAGCGTGTGTAAGAAGCCGAATCTTATCTTCCACATTATCGCAATCATGTTTAATTCAAGAGGCAGTTTTCTTCCATGGCTATACCTGCTTGCGCAGATTGTATTCCTCGGGTGGAAACTCAAACAAGGACTTCTGTTCTTGAAATGCCGGACAAAGAATTTGATAATGTTACTCGATTACTAAAAGGATAACGGCGAATACTTGCGAACTATCACATCCCTTAGCAAAACAGTTGAAAAAAAATTCCCGCATTGTCAGGAGATCAGCAAATAAATAAAGCTACACTTTTGAAAGCAGTGGAGGTGCTGTCGGATAAGTGCTAAACTCGCTTCCTTTTGTACTATACTGCTAAAAGGCAATACGGCGAACAGAAGCAAATCACACAACAACATCCACATAATCTAACCACAAACAATAATGTTAACACGATCATCGATGTTAATGTAGGTGCACAAACCACTGTAGCAGGACACGCGAGTCATTGCAGTAATCAGTGATGTAACATCTCATATAACATAATCGAAGGTAGTGTTCTAGAGCATCATAGCAACTAACGAAAACATCAGAAATCTATGGGCAACCTATAAGTATCGTATCAATTTTCGTTATCATATTATATTATAAATATAATATTATTTTATTATTTAATATTTTTTATTTTTTATTATATTTTTTGTATATTTTTTCATTTTTTTCAATTTTCATTATCATTGCCTTTTTATTACCTTTTTTTCTTTTTTACCTTTTTCCTTTTTTTCACTACCTTTTTTAAAATTATTACCTCTGATCTTTGTGATCTTTCGTTTCAACTATCTATTAATGTATTCAAACCCCACTAGAGAGCTGGACGAGCTGTCACTGCATCTTTTCGTCAAACCTGTAGAATTAAGTAGCCGCATACGAAAGATATGATGGAACTCACTGGGCAGTTTTGTCTCATGATCGAATTAATGTTTTACTTGTATCAGCATGATGCGTCGGTAATCAATCTGGTTTATACGTGACACAGGTGCTAGTGTGACAAAGATGGGGTAGGAATGTTCTCAGGTGAACCATTCTTTTGGCAGTCGCTCCGACAACTTGCTCATTAAATATTCATTGAAGAGAGTAATGCGTGCTGAATCGCCAGTGAAACGATTGCATTGTATGGGACTGGAGTTCATGTCATAAAGCTGCGTTTGCAGAGAAATCTTCAGGAAGCTCCACTTTGGTTTTCCCTTCGGTCGTTTTACTTATTCGATATTCTTCCATAACAACCAGTCCTCGTGGATTAGAAGGAAATTTCTTACGATGCGAATATGTCTCTATTGGAATCGCTGAACTGTTTTACGTAGTTAACCTTTTATCTGCTGCCAGGTGTAGTTTTTCACGGCAGAATATGATGTAAAATGCAACCACTATAATGCTGAGATATTTGCAAATCTTGAGTCCCTAGACCAGATCGAACCACGACTACCCTTTCCTATAGTCGCGTGTTACACACTGCACCACTGAGGCTCTTGCTTTGCACTTCTCTCTTTTCCTTTAGTGGTGCACACTGCATTTTAGCAAACTGTAACACCCTTCGTTGTAGTGAAACTGTAAGTTCAATTGCAGCTTACGTAACTTGATTACTTTTCTCTAAATATCATTGTCATGAACTCGTGTTAATTATTTTTTGAAATGAGGAGTAAAATATAAGTTTATTGCTAATGTTCCGTGTATTTTCCTCATATGAGGAATCTCCTCCAAGCTACGTGGAGCATATCCTCGTTCAAGTGGTAAAAAAAAAACTCGTGTACTGAGCACGTAATGTGTGGAGTACTGAATTTATTTCTGGTTGAGGGACCTTTTTCTAAATACCGAGTGGCTTGGCTAGAGATTTCCCAGATCATATCCACATGCAGCATCTGTTTTTTGGATCGGAAAAAGATTCGTCAGCTGAGTTCCTATCAGGACATTGGTGATCGTTAGCGTTGGTTTATTTTCCACTGAGTTTTCATTATCTGCCTATGAAACGCTGGTGATGCGTGGACCTACTGTGCATCACATTTCAGTATCAGAGGTAGCCTCCACCCGTGAGAAGAAAGCGCCGAATTATCAGAGGTTCAAATACGCTGTCGCTATAGTAAATTCGTTTTTTCAATGCCTGTTTGGAGTATATAGGTTGTTAGGGCGTGTGTCGCACACTGGTTGCGATGCCGTTCAATATATTCTCTGGTTCGACGCCTGTCTAGATTAACCAAGCCCACCATCCGTCCAGGGCTTAGGAATTGTGACCAGACCTATCTTTTACCAATTCCTTCCCACCAATCCACAGAACGTGGCGCTCTGTGATGATGATCTGAGAGTGCTCTAACACGTGTAACTCAGGTTTCTAGGAATAATCGACTCGACAAGATTCGAGGACATTCATAAATAAGACCAGTGATCCTCAACTGAACCCATACGAAATATTTGAAGGTTCTCATGTGTGATGGGTGCGAGGGAACTAATCGAATGGAAGAAATCGAAAAATCGAGTAAAACGTAATGGAACAAAATTTTTCGGAGCATAGAATTCGCAATTTTTTGAAGTATTTAATGTTTTAAATTGTTCAAATATGAATAGGGCTTGAGTAATTCCATTAATTTTCCATTGATAGAAGTGTCTTTTGCAGATTTTTGTGAACGGCGAGCGGTTCGCATCGTACGCCCACCGTATTGACCCGCACGAAGTTGGTGGTCTTCAGATCCAGGGCGACATCGAGTTGACCGGCATTCAGCTCGTGGGCAACTGAACAGCTTTTCTGTGCCCTGCCATTGTTCATCGTGCACACTGATGTGTATTGTAATCCGATTCTATGCTATCTTTCGGCATATCGCGAACAACTCTTCGGATTTCTTGGTGATCCCACTGCCATTCTCGTCTTAGCTGTCCGAATTTACGACAAGAATAGCAACAACAAACACCTCAAGAATCACTTCTAGTCGCAGTAGTTCCTTTGATTGTCTTGTCGTGGCTTCCTGTTCCATTTACCATGTATCGTTTCATGACTCATTATTCAGTTTACAATTCAGACATGCTTTCCTGTGCCTAATACTTGCACCAATCTGTCTTATCTAACGTCAGTTCATATAAAGGTTCACCATTATTTAGTCACTCGAAGTTCATTCCTCCTTTTACTGCATCTCATTAGAATTTCATACTAGACGAGTAAAAACAAAAGGACAACTGGTGATTAGAAACGCAATAACTTTAACCGCGGCAGATTCATGAACCTCGTAACTGGCAAAGGAAGACCGTCACATGCACAGCACGCATTGCGGAGATAATACGAGCCTTTTTTGCTAACATATTTGCGTAGAACTGGAACCTGCAGGAAGCTGCGAAAACGTTTTCATAGTTTTCTCTAGACCTCGACAACTCATCGTAAGTGAGACCATGACGACTATTTTTTTGTTATGACATGCGACGCAAAGTAGCGTAGCAATTCATGCAGAAGCACTTCACTCAGGTATAAATCTGATGCCAATTTGGCTACCCCTGAAAGGATGGAGAGCTTGGTTGTGCGGATGCGGAGTCGAACCACCGAGCATACGTATATTGCGTGGCATCTCCACCGCCGAGCTTCCGGTGTCCGTAACTTCTATTTCGCAACTGACGCTCAATCACGAAGATATTTAAAGAGAATGACCCCCTTTAGCTTCGGCTAAAGCATTTGCTGTGAGTGGTAGCATGAGGAGCATTACCCGTGTACTATTCCCTTTGGGAAGGGTGTCTGAGGGAAATACTCCGTACGTTTTGAAGGTTTCTATTTATTACACCCGTGGAAAAATCATAACCTCTAGAATCTTCAACGTTGAATCGTTTTCACACCCAATGCACTTGTTGGAGAGCGTTTCCGTGGTTCTATTTCATTGCACATGCGTATATACTATGCACGTGTGTATATGTGTATGAATGCATTATGTTACACCATTTTACGCGAACACCAAACGTCCTTGCCGTTTCACGCAACACATGATGTACTTTTGAATGCAGTTTTTCAAAACCGAGCTGAAGCTACGACCCAGGAAGAAGTAAAATTCCAAGCAGAACAAGTGCGACAATGCAAATTTTAAGGACTAGTTAGTGCTAATATTCGTCAACGGGTGTGTTTAGTGACACACACACACACACATACAACGTACACACACACACAAACAACATACACACATACACACTCACACACGCACACACGTACACACATACACACACACACACGGTTATTGGTTCGACATAGCGCTCGGAGCTAACCATACTCTTCGTTGTTTCGGGATCGGAAAATTGGTACCAGCCTTGAATGATAAAAACACTGACTTAACATGTTTTAGATCGACGGATTTCATTGTACAGGCCATAAACCAAATGTATCCAATCACCTCTGTGACGCTTAGAGAATCGAGTACATGGTGTACCTCGAAGGGATTAGTCTCCTTTTTCATGTCTGAAATTAGAAAGCAAAATCAGTAGATGAGTTATCCAGCTTACCTCGCTTTCAAGTTGGTAGCATTTCTTTCCCATGAGCCTAAAAATTTTGTTAATAAGCTTTCTGATAATGCTGACCAACAAGAAGTCTGTCAGTTAAAAGATGAAAGTGACACAGTCAAATGTGTAGTTTTCTATAATTTTAAGTTAGGATCTCCATTTTCTGAAGCCTAGAAGTCACCATTATTGCTTCGGTTTTTGAAGGAACTAGTGTTTTCTTCTGGACTTAGAGCTCAATACGCTGAATCTCCATAGACTATTCATTCTAAGAAAGACCGGTTCGGTTCATCGATTCATCGCTAGCATAGACATATCCATTTATAGCTGTATTTTTAAAGAGGTTTGAATAAAGTGAAGCTACGCTTCATTGCTCTTAGAATCTGAAATATTAGAGATTTTCAGGCTCAGAATTATGTACTGGAACATAAGAAATCCTGTTTCCCGTTTTAAAACGTTTACATTTTAAGTTGTACAGTTGGACTGAGTTCGAAATGTATCACATCAGTACTGTTCGGCCCTTTTCATTAGCTTGATTTCCAGCTTTAATAGACACTCGTTTAATCCATTTTTTCTGTTATTTTGTATGTAGCACTAGCCTTTGTACTTAATTTTGACATAGATATCGGCGGTAAAGAAAGGTATGACATCTGGCCCCAACTAGACCGGTTGCAAACAGCTGAAGAAGATATGACTAGCCTACTCATAAGCAACACACTGTAAAGTGTCCGTAAAAAAGAGAAATCAAGTATTTCCTCGCCAAAAAGCTGACCCGAGCTTGATTTGATTCTTGTCGATGGTCCACACTTGTTGAAAATCAAGTCTTTTACAAACTACTGACGTCACGAAATCAGCAGTTTTCGCTACTCGCCATCTATGTTTATGTGCACTCAATTATGGTGAAACTCATAAGAGTATAGAAAAAAAATCAAATTTCTTTTTATTGATTCTAAAGGGATTTCGATACTGTTAAATAGTAAGATAACTTAATACTTTAATAGCGTTTGCTTGAAAAAAACACTTTTTTAATGCCTCTTATGCACATCTACTTTGCGGATCTAAGCACTTATCGCATTCGATTCGTACCCTTGCATCCACCATCCGTTAAGGTTTTCGAGCCTTCAGTATGAATTTGGCAGCTGCTTGCATGTTGTGGTCTTTATAAATGCCCCTAAAGTCCTGTCGATTCTTTCTAGAGACCTAAGGCCAACTGAGGCGTTCTCACTTCAACTGAAGGGGTGTAACTGTTGCCAAACAAGTATGGTGCCAATTTCTCCACCCTAAACGATAGGAAACCGGGCGAACATGGTATGGGGTCGGACACCTGTGATGAACGGCATGATTACTGCTGCGTTACCCTAATTTCCCTTACTTTCGAAATTTGTCATATCCTCTTGGAAACAAGATTCCCATTGGAAAAGACGTTGTAATGAAGAAAAATATGAAATTTCTCTTCTTCCTTTTTTCCCTTTCCGTTTTGTTATTAAATTAAGCCTTTATTCTCACCTTCCAGTTCATTTCATGTCAAACGTTTTCAACATCAAAAAATTTATTTAAATAGGTGTACGTACGAAAGTATGGGTTGAGGTTGACATGGGCATTTTATCATAAGGAATGTAGGTGAAATCTTCATGGCATTTACGAGATTGAATCAAGTGGACATAAAATTGGAGCAGTGTAGTTCAGTTCAAAATTTCGCCTTCAGCATTTCTGGATCAAATAGAAACTTCAGCTTTGTCGATTTTACCACATTTCCCTTCATTTTCATCCTACCTTGCATGTATGCCTGAAACGATGAATTTTGTTTGAACTATTTACGTATCGAACACGACAACTGAACCTGGTCAGGCCTAAGTTTTCCGGCGGCGATCCTCATTAAGTCATTGTCCTTGATAGTGATTTCGATCTCGAACGGCTTCTCATCATGGCCGACGTAAGGAGATTCGCTCTGAAGAAACAAATCGATACCTTGGTCAATGTCAAAAAAGTAACTTCTAAGTTTGAAAGCGACCGTCATTTAACTTCAGAAGTAGAATGATCAACATGCGTTTATACTGTTGAGCTTACACCACATTAATAAAGGTATTCGGCTAGCGCTTCGACGGTTCCGTCTTCCTCAGAGCCAATGTTTCAAGTCGACGGTCCTGGAGAACACGAACAATTGTGGACCATCGGCTCTGATCATCGGCTCTGATGAAGACGAAACCGTCGAAGCGTTAGCCGAGTAAACATCTTTATCAACGTCTTATAAGCTCAGCAATATAAACACATAGCAACTTCTATTGAGTTCTCAAAGTCATTCATGACTAGACGTTTGATGCTCTGGAATATGCCATATAGTTTGGAAGTGTAGTTCGGAACTAGAGAACAAGGCACAGTAAACATCAGTAAAGGTTAAAATCCTTGTCTAAAATTCAGTTGTATTCCCTTCTAGTGCTAATTGGGTCAATAGCAATTTGTTCCTGGTTTGTTTAATTAAAAATCATATTGCAGTGGAAGCGTAGAAAATACCTTAGCATTTATGATCCATTTTTTTGTGCTGCCATTATTTCCTATAATGTTGATTTTGAACGAACTGTCAACCTTCTCTAGAAGGTTTTTATCCTGAAACCAAGATAAATGAATGGAAAAAGAATGTGTAACGGAACTGAAATCGGTTTACTGAAAGTCTATCTAGATCAGTGGAAATGAAATTGGATGTCAGACTAGAGTTCTAAAGTGATAAATGGCAGCCAAAAAGGTCCGGATCCTTCTCTCATATGGTATTAGCATGAGAAGAACATGGGACGCGTTACCTCAGTTTTCAACGTATAGCTTTCACCATTGCACGTGTGCAGCGCAGTGGTTGGAGGCCCTCTACAACACACACGTGGAATCGATCCTAACACCCCTGGCCCACAAAGCCTTCCATCCCTCCGGGGTCGGCAAATTGGTACCAGAATGACTTGTCTGGGAGGATAGCAGCACTGGCTCGATACATCGCTAGGCCACCGCGAGTCATTGTTAAGGCCGAGTATGCATTCAATCACCTCCAAGCGATGGTTAATGAAGCTGAATGCATGGCGTATCTTTAAAGGAACTGATCAACGCCGATAGCCTTTTTTTAGCTTTAGCTTCACATTACCTTCATGATTCGTTCTTTGACTTCTTGGAAAATCAGGTCGGATTTGAATGCTTCCACTCCGTTGGTAGTCATCACTGGAGTAGATGTACTAGACGGTAGGCCTAGACGATAGAGCCCTACTACGCCAGCTCCTCCAATTCCTAAAGATAAATCCCGATCCTTCTTTCTCTTATAATAACGAAGACTGCAAAAATGGAGGTGGAGCTGAGATAATCACAGAACTGCTTTGCATAGATTAATGAGTGAAGAAGAAAAAAGACAAAAAGAGGAAGCACTCCAATATCACTACGAGGCTTTCCGCTCTACCCAATACTATTTCTTTCAAGACCCCTCAATTGAAGGGGATTGAATTCAGTATGAACATTCATGTTTACATGTTTCGCATGGTTTTCATAAATATGTTTTCATCACGTCTCATTTCCATCGACTTCCGCTGGTACGCATACGCTCAACAGAACGGCTTCATTTGTAACACTCCCAGGCAATAAAAATAAAAATTTTATGGACGTCCATTTGAAACATACGATCTTTAAAAAACCCCGGATAGCGGTAGATAAACACTTAGCTTGTGAAGATAAGCCACAAACCAATGTTATGCTGTAAAGCGAGTTTGCAATTGGGAACCTGACGTTTTCCGCATTTCCCTCGCAGTTGATTCGATAATTCGACCACTTGTGCGACTCCTGAACAGTTTTCAAAATCAGATGCATTCTATGCAATAAAACACATTCACAATGAGCAGTAAGTGACCTGTCGCTCCAATTGGGTGCCCCTTGGAGATAAGCCCTCCTGAAGGATTGATCACCCATTTTCCTCCATAGGTGTTGTCTCCACGATCGACAATGGTACCACCCTTTCCTGAAATGCAATTTCTACCATTCCTGATGGAAATTTCATTACAATAGAGTACTTTCAAGTAGTTTACCAATATCACATAACCCCAGTGCTTCATACGTAATCAGTTCGTTTGGAGCGAAACAGTCATGAAGTTCGATCACCTGATAAAGAATTCAATGAGAGAAGGAAATAAATTGTATTATATTTTATCGCTTTCGACTTTTAAATATTCATCGCACCAACGATGAAAATGAAGGGTTATTCGCAAAAAAACACGTCAAAACGGCCGACCATTACCTCATTCTTCTAGCGGTTTACCGCCTCATCGTGGCTGGAAGGTGTTCCTGGGTGTCGGGTTGCCATACGCAGCAAGGGATTTATTTGGAGAGCCTTCCAAGCTCAAAAGGAGTCCGGCGTTTCCGCTAGGAAGTCCATCCAAAAGTAAACCAATTCCAGGATCTACCATTGTCATAGTACCAAACTAGTTTCATGGTGGCAAATCTCCCTCTAATCCACGAAGGCCGCGACTGCCTGTGGTGCTGACGACATGGGTCTGACTTTGGCCAGGCTCACCTCTGGACTTCAGAGAGCCACAATGGCTAAACCAGCACAACTCCGAAGAAATGGAAATCACGCTGGGGCTCGTAGGAAAAGTGAGGACAAGAGGCCCAAGTGTCGAAGAAGGTATCCAGTACATCTTAGTAGGTTTCTTTTGCGTTAATGTTGAAATTTGAAAAGAAAAACTTTTCAAAGTGTTTTATAAAGTAGCGCGAAAGCAATAGGATAACTTTCCTGTGTTAAGAAACTGGTTTAGGTTTTTGGAGTAAAGAACGCTTCTGCTTACGAAATAATAGAAGTCACGCTGCACGTTAATACTGACTAAAGCCTTCATCGATCCAGTCAAAAGTACAGCACTTCATGCGCCTTTCCCTGCGAAAGAACTGCAACACAACACAGAGCACAAACCTGCACATCATTAGGTGTAAGACCCGTCTCTGCATACAAATCCGACGAAATTTTTTTAATCATATCGAAACCTATCATCTTTATGTTGCTGTTCTCCTTGAATACCGATGGTTGATCAGTGCCAAGTTTCAGTCCTTAAAATAATAAAATAAAACGGAAACCTGGTCATTTCTTTTCAAATGCCTACTCTTTTTAATGATAGGGTATTTTGTGAAATATAACTATAGCGATGCTGAGATGTTTTAAAGACTCCGGACCGCCGGCGTATGCGGTAGGGAATGATCGCGCTATTACCCTTTCCGGGGTCTAGCGCGTTCACTTTCACACCATGCGAGTCCTCCTTTTCGCCTTTCTCTCAGCTGTATTATCGACCTATGGGTTCTATAAAGGGAAATCATAGAAGAAAACGTGATTAAACTTTAAGATTGTCAACGAACCCACGATTTCTACTGCTTGGGGTCTCAGATGGGAATGTTGTTCGAGGAATCGTTCTGAACAAATAACAGCCGCTGCTGAACCATCCGAGGTGGGGCTGAATAATATAAGTGTTCGCTTGAAATCTGACTCCATGTTGGGCTAATATGCTGAGGCAGGCAGGGAAAGAAGTTATGTTGAAAGAATGGGAGTGGATGTCTAGCTTACCCTGACGGATAGGTCGAATTTTTATGTGGATCACAGCAGAGTCACAAACTTTATTTCTAGGACAAATTGTTTTCAAGAGTCATGTATATGTAGGGCCATAATGTGGAAGATTGAAGAGAAATGATAGTGAATTATGTGAATAGGTTACTGAAATTTCTCTCAGTATCGGTGGACATCAAGGGTGCAGCACCAGTCGCAATATCAAAGTATTCTTAACACCACAGTTTTCACCGCAAGTAGACCTCAATGATTAATCACTAGACGTTTAGTCACGAGGTTACGTTACGCATCTCTAGCTGCCGCCTAAGTTAATAAACGCGCAGTAAAGGCATCTTTGCGCTTATCCTGAAGCGCACTTAAATTCATTTGGTGAACGCCTTGTCTCTGCTGTGCAGGACGCCATTCGCTTTTTGTATATACGTACGAAAGTATGCATGCGTCTGTATGTTTGTTCACATGTAGATTGTACGCTGCACATTAATGCAAACAATAGTCTCCAAACAAGTTACTCGGAGGCACATGGTAGATGCTTCGCGGTCGCCTTTAAAGATTAAGTCCCACGTTAATCCGAGAAGGTCCATAAAGTCAACGGTGATTTATTCATGTCTCACGCAGAGCCCCGAAAGCTACCTATTGGTATTACTGGACAAAAACAGCACAAACAGAGAGTTGCTTAAGTTCATCATGGTGAGTAATTTCACGGTAACCGACAATTTCAAAAGCTTTGCTTTCCACCTTTAATCTAGCGTTCTCCCATTGGACAATGTCATGATGGAACACCTAATGCCCCTCTTGTACCAAACTTTTAAATGAGGCTGGACCGCCTAATCGTTCGTGCTAGATTTTGTTCACCGAAATCCACGAAAACCAGGGAAGTAAATCCGAGCACAATCATAAATTATGTATGCTCTACTTCTCTATTACCTTTCAGCAAAATGCTTTTATCAACATTATTGAGAAAAATACGACCGGAATTATTCACCATTTTCGAAAGCCCTTCATTTATGCGAGGAAGGACCATGAGAAGAACACAGCAACACTACGTTGCAAGGGTTCAAAACAGCGACATCGGATCGAAGTCCACCGGGACCTCGTCAGCAGGGATAATATGATTCATATTCTATGTTCAGATAGAATTTTTGCTATGTCGAAACAAGCTATGAGAGGAATCTTCCACGATGTCAATTCTAATCTGTTCCATATCAAATAACAGAGTTGTTACACTTCCAAATTCTCGTGTTTTCTATCGCAGGTGGAGAGCCGTAGGTGGGTCATGGTATTTCTGCACAGATGTGAATTTCGTGGTCAGTACATACTGATCGCTCAAGAGCTAAACAGCAAATTCGTGACCAATAAAAAGGATACAGCTCTCGGAGATGATCAACCCGTGAAGGATGCGCCGTGCATTCGACTTCATTAATCATCGTTAGAGGCGACTGAATTCATATCTCTGCAATAACTGGCTGTGGCCTACCGATGTACCGAGCCTGTCCTGCTATCCTTCCAGACAAGTTTAGTACCAATTTGCCAACCCAGGATGGATGGAAAGCCTCGTGGGGCTGGAGCGCGGAATTGATTCCATGTGTATTGCAGGGCGACTCCGACCACTGCGCTACACGCACCCATGACCAGTATTTTGTCATTATTACGATATTTTTTTCTAAGAAAAGGCTGTGATAACTAGATACTATCACATCAAAACTGTTTAGCGCCACTTTTATGGAGACCGAACGAGAACTGATGTGAAATAAAATGAGGTTTAGAGTCGAAGGCTGAAAGCTACACCACATTCGCTTTGATGATGAATTCGTCACTAAAACATGGAGCATTAGACGGCATGGACGAGTGCTATAAGATTAAACAATGTTTATGAAGAACCGATTTCATTCTTATACATTGTCCAAGTACAAAGCAACGAATACCGTGCACCCCAACTATATCTGCCTCGGTCGGGAAGTTAACATGATGGTCGGGTTTGCTCTTAAGCTGTGCAGGAGGAGACGAGCGACATGGCGACCTCACAAGTGCACCTTGAATGCAGTGGAAAGTATTAGAGTACCCAACTTTTCAACTATGCTATTCTTCTTTTCCCTTAAAGCCTTGAAAAACTAAGCGCTACGTAGCAAAAAATCAATTGGATTTATTGAAGGCATTATTTGGAAGGCGCTTGGCGAATGCCGTATCAAGGACGGAGGTCTAGTCGAAAATCGGAAACCAGTGACACTAACACCGACGTCAAAATGTTGAAATCATGTGAAACGAAGAAGCCAAAATCGTGAAAGATCTTTATTATAACCGATGAATTAGGCAGTTTACGATGTTGTTTTGTGGGATTTTAGTTTCACAATAGGAAGTTCATCAAGCAATTGGTCATACTATGCTGAAAGATCTCAGAAGAGAAATACGATTACTCTTAGTGTACTTTAGAGAGTTGCTGAACAACTACGATAGGTTTGAGGATAGAAGTTGGATTTAGTGCAGTGCCGCTTTCTATTTTAAACTGCCGATAGATTAAATATGAAAAGAAGGTCATGACAAGTACTTTAGCCTAGTTTTCGAAACTAAATTTTCTTTCAAGCGCATTAGAAGCTCCAACGTCGTCTTTTTTCCTGGCCAGCTTTTGACTATGGCTCAGAGGTTTCTTACCTACACTCGAGTAATCCCATGAAGTCGTAAATGTTTTTCGCGTTAAGCACCTGATCGAGCGTGTATTCTTTCGTGAACTGAGAATTCCTGGAATGATTTCGACTTTTCTGTCGGCGTGTTTTTAGCAGAACTAAGCCACTGAAAACTAACGGGTTGTGAACTGAGTGAAGATGGTTCTTCCACGCTATTTTAGCAAAGTGTTCTCGTTTAGTGCCTGACAATCGAGATTAACGAAAGTTCACGATATTTGCGGAGGTTTTAGAAAGACTTCAGAAAGACGTATCAACTTACCGTATTTTTCCATATGTTCTTTTCCGGCATTTCCGAACATTTGAGCCATCATCGGAGCTGGGAAGAGGCCATATGTATCAGCAATTACCTGCAGTCAACCTTTTGAAAACTGGAAAATTATACATTGAGGAAAGCACAATGATAAACATGCTGCTGATCTCGACCAAATATAAGCAGCTTTATTGGGTAGTGCTTTCCCGCATTACTTCCTCCAATTTCCAAAATTTTGTTTGTGGTACAATACTCAAAAAACACAGTTATCTAAGGAGAAATGTTAGGCGAAAGATTAAACCTGGATGTGTTTATCAATAGGAAGAATGCGATCATCATTGTTTTCTGCTTGGCTGTCTAACGATCCAGGAGCCATTTTTTCGAAACCACATGCAAGAACACAGTCGGCGTTTCCTGAAAACGGCGTAGAACGTGTAGACCGAGTGCCAAATTCCTAAAACCTAAACATTGTGAAAACAATCCAGGAAGTACAACCGCAAGGGTGTTGAGATATGAGCAAAGCTCGGGAGCTCAAACGGGCTTCGAACCAGCGACTTCCCTTTCCGGGGCCTCACGTTTGTCCTTGTCTCTCAGCCGCTTTTTATTCCATCGATACTAACAGTGAACATCTGTTAAAGTAAAAAACAAAAAACTGGCTGATAGGAAGGCAAACCAAGAGCTTCGGTTGATGCTTGGACACGTGAGCCCCGGAAAGGGTAATCGTTGGTTTGAAGACCAATTGACGCCCCGAGTTTTGCTCACATCTCAGCATCTTTGTGGTTGTATTCCACACAATACCCTGCTACGTAAAAAGGATTAGGCAGTGAATAAAAGTTAAACATTTTGGGAAAATTATAATCTTCCGTGTTTTCTAACAGCTACGGCTTGTGTAACCCAATGATAAGAGGTGTGCGGTAAAACACAGTTGCTGGTTCGATCATGTACTCCGGAATAACTTAGTCTCGTATCACTACGGCGTCAGCAAATTGCTATCAAACGAGCACAGAGTTATGAGTAGTACGCAAGTCATTATATAACATGCATATTCCTTTAACCATCTCTACGATGCTCAGTGAAGTGGAATGCACGGCATCCCTCAGAGGACGCCAATACCAAACTGTTCATTTTTCCGCTGTTTCCTTGATACACATAAACAAAGTTGCTACTTATTTTTTTTTATTCATAAAAAGGCTATGTTTTCGAGAATTGCGCCTTATTCAGAGCCTGGAAAGGCCAAGTTGAAAGCAATCCAGTTAGGTAAACATCTCCATAACCCAACAGAGAAAACCCTGAACCAAAATTGCAATCGCATCCAGAACAAAATAGCTTCTTCATAAGCTCATCGCTTTCTATGATTTCATCACTTACTATTTCACGTGATGACCAACTGCGCAGTGTTTAAATGGATGGGTAATGTTCACCGCTCACGTTTAAATATCAAGCTTAGATATAGCGTGAGATCACACGTGATCACAAGCACACCTACTTCTTTATTTTAAGATTTTTGGAATTTATCCAAAACACAACTACAATTACGCCGAGTTATTTGCAAAACTCCGGACCGCAGGTGTCTGCGGTGGAGAACGAACGCGCTATTACCTTTTCCAGGGGCAAACACGTTCATCGCGATACCATGAGAGTCCTTCGTCTCACCTTTCTCGTTAGGCATTAGTCTCCGGAAAGAGTAATAGCGCGTTCGTTCCCCACCGCATACACCTGCGATCCAGAGTTTTGCAAATATCTCAGAATCATCGTAGTTATATTTCACAGCATGCCAACCATGAAAAAGAATAAGCAGTAAATAGAAAAGTGATTGCATTGTCCAAGACATTTCAAGGATTTTACCCGCAGATGTTTTAGATTCCTGTACGAGAATTATGACTTCAATTTCGAAATGTTCTCCGTTATGTCTCTGTGTTCTACGCGTGCCTACTGGAGCATTTTATTTAAACATAAGTTTACTGATTTGGTGTTTTTATTATACGTAAACACAGTGGTCCACCCGTGTCAATAATATATTCGCCCCCCCCCCCCCCCCCCCCCTCCACGCACTTTACAGGAGATCAGACAGATAAACCGTACCCGAACTCATGCAATCATCGTCTCTATCTCATGGCATATTATGCGAATTTGCGTTGCTACGAATTAGCTGGAGCCTCAGAATGCTCGGTGGTGCTTCGCCGATGGGTGTCAAATTTTCTAGACCGACTCTCTTTAAGCAACGTTTTATAGCCGTACTTATTTCGTTGAAAATATTCCTTGTCTTTTCATCCTTGCTGTTCATAGCTAACAGCTGCCGAAATACACAAACAAATGATAGCATCTTTGATTCCCACGACCGACTTTCTATTAACCTCGGCATTGATCAAGTAATTCTTCGTATTTTTGTTGAGCAAACGCGAGGTGTTACTATTCTTTGTTCACGATTAAGCTGACGTTTCGGCGGATTTCGCCTTCCTCAGAGCCTGGAAAGGTCAAGTTGACAGCAATCTACTTGGCCAGACGCCTCCATAACCAAACAAAGAAACTCTAAACCAAGATTTCAATCACATTGAACACAGCTTTGCACACTCACCGCTTTCTATGAGGTCTCCACTAAGTATGTCACGTAGAGACCAACCGCACAGAAATCACATGGAAGTATAATGTACCCCACTCATCAGAATAGCAGTCTTATATACTGCCCTACATCACGCGTGATAATGAGGCATTCTTCCCTGGGTCAGACCCTTGCACGCGAATCAAGAACACAGGCGCGAAAAACTCTCGAGGCACTCTGGATTAATTCCAGAAATCCGAAAATGAACCGCAGGGAAGAATGCCTCATTATCACGCGTGATGTAGGGCAGTATATAAGACTGCTATTCTGATGAGTGGGGTACATTATACTTCCATGTGATTTCTGTGCGGTTGGTCTCTACGTGACATACTTAGTGGAGACCTCATAGAAAGCGGTGAGTGTGCAAAGCTGTGTTCAATGTGATTGAAATCTTGGTTTAGAGTTTCTTTGTTTGGTTATGGAGGCGTCTGGCCAAGTAGATTGCTGTCAACTTGACCTTTCCAGGCTCTGAGGAAGGCGAAATCCGCCGAAACGTCAGCTCATTTGTGAATAAAGAATAATAACACCTCGCGTTTGCTCAACAAAAGTACGAAGCATCTTTGATTGTTTTGACACATTCTGAAATAAAAAATGCATTGTGTAGCATTGACATGACTTTTGTCACTCTGGAGAAATGTTCCTTTTTATGTTGGTTATTTCTTGCTGGATTTTGTCTTAAGGTCAACTGTGTAGGAGGTAGCGAACTGATCATCTAGGATGATTTGCAGGAGCCCGTTGATAAATCAAAACAACAGTTTTTTATCCTTACAGGCAAGTGTGTAGTGATTTTCTGATACGCAGGCATGGAATGCTCGGCTAGCATGAAACGTGGGACCGAACCAAGGATAACTTGTGTATTCCAGGTTACCTTTAACAGTTTTGACACCTGCACTGTGCCTTTAAGCAACTAACGAAGTTCTTGAAGTGAGCAACATGAGAAGTTGCAAACGGAGTTCGTACTTGGGATTATATTTGACGTGGCGATTTAGTTGGTGTTGCTATGCATTTGAAATCAAGTTCACCAAAAGGAATAAGACGTTCTGGAACCCATTATATTTCCACTTAGTATTAATTCCACTTAGCAAAACCCACCGCTTTCGATGAACTGCTTGCACAGGAAGACTCCCGATGAGCCAGACGCACAAGCATTGTTCACCTTTAAGCAAGATAACATCATGCGCAAATTACTGACAAGTGAAGGTTAAGGTATACGTTGAAGATGGGAATGCCAGTAAGTCCGAGTTCGTAGAGAGCCCGTTGACCGCAGCATGTACCACCGAACAGGTAGCTAACTGTTGCCATTTCGATGTCAGAGTACTTCAGAGAGCAGTCGTCGAGTGCCAGATTCACTAAAGAAAATATTCATTCGCTCACTTTATTTCATTTCTTGATTTACTCGTTTTTGTTTCAACAGATCACATAACCACTTCCTAGCCGGAGAAGTGCTACCTTGTTTATTTACCTTGAAGAGCTTCTGACTGCCAAGCACTATCATAGGTAATGGACTTTGGTCGCTGGTGGATTTGAATCGTTTGGAAAAAGAAAATGGAAAGAAAGTCGTATTTTCAAAAAGCAAAATCAAACTTGTAATGTTTTAAACAAGAACTTGGTTATGGGTTTTGGCTCGGGAGACACGCTAGGTGTACATGAAATCGAAATTCCACAAATTTGCTGTTAATTTTCTGCTCAAACAGATGGGAACGAGAACGTTCGCAAACAACGAAACGAGCAGGAAATTTTTATTATAACTCGATTGCAAGAGAGGGAAGAACATAATGTAACTCGGAAACCACGTTGGAGCTAACCACGACGAGATATAATGTGTGAATGAAATGCTTCCTTTTTCGTAAGCTTTCTTGCAAAAACTCTATCAAACGGTGTGCAATAATTAACCGCCCGAGAAGACTAAAGATTAGCTGATGATGGTGGATACCAAGCCTACAACCGTCTATGAATATACGATTGGTATGGATTACAATACTTACCAGCTTCTTTCACCATATCTGGATAATCCCAATCACGGGAACCTGGTTTGCAGAACTTAGTCATGCCCACGCCAATCACGTACACTTTGGTGTTACCCATGACGTTGAAAATACTATGAATCTTAACAAGTTCTTAGAGAAAAATTCTATATTAATAGATCCCAACGAATAAAACATCCTAGATGAGAAAAATTTCTGAGAATGCCTATTTTTGCCGAATGCCTAAAATCACGAATAACGTAACAAAATATAACGGAAAAAAGGAAATCACGGCTTGACTGTGGCGTCGAAGAGACACCGTTCTATGAGGATTTTTCAGCGAATTTCTGTTTTCTATTATTCTAAAAAGTACGCTCACAATATGATTATTGCGAAACAGAAATAAGATGGCTCATCTGAGATCAACCTTGAAACAATGCCAGGTGGTTAAGCTAGGTGGAACAAGGATTTTTCGAGAAATGGACAAACAAAGAGCTGAATCACATGCCCCAGATGAACTCCTGCCTATCAGAGATTGCTAATGGCTGCCATGCCGCTATTCTAGAAGCGTTGGTTTTGAAAGCCATGGCAGTATCTTGGAAATACCATATATTTAACTAGTTGAAAGCTATTCCCAACGGTCGGGTGAAATTGTTAAAACTGGCACAGCCTAGCGAAAGCCTGTCGATAAGATAGTGGTTGGTGTGGGTAAGAGACAACGCGGAGAGAACATGACGACTGACCTGATAAGACTGATCAATTCTAACAGTGACCTAACGAAAGTGAATCGACGAGTCCGAGGAGCACTCTATACCTTTCTAAACCAAAAATTTAGCAAAAAACGTTGTAATGGAAAACTCAGGCTCCACGAAGGATCATCAACCGTATCGTGTTGGTTTTCGAGCAGGTCAAGCGAGACTCCAAATTGGTGCCAATCTACCTATGAAGATGTCATGGACCAACTGCAAAAGTTGAATGGACCAGAATTAAAAAAAAAGAAAAAAGCCCTCGGCGTTCATTAATCCCTGAGGGATGCGCCATGCATTCGGTTTCATCAACTATCGTTGGAGGTGAATGAATGCATAACTGGCCTTTGCAATGACTCGTGGTCGCTACCTATGTATTGGTCTAGTGCTGCTATCTTCCCAGACAAGTCTGGTACCAATTTGCCGACCTAAGAGGGATGGAAGGCCTGGTGGGCCATGGGCGCAGGGACTGGCTCCATTTATGTGTGGCAAGGCGTCTCCGACCACTGCGCCACGCGAGCCATAAGGAATAAACTTTTCCAGACATGTCTGACATTTCTCCACGCCGTATGGATAAGTTGCTTTCTTACACTGGTGCGGGTTTGAATGCTCGAGATGGTCAGTGCTACTGCCGCTGCCCTACGCACGCTTTTTTAATTACCAGAATTAAATACTTTAATTCCTTCAAAATACAATCACATGATACTTTAGGCACGGAAACATGAAAAGCACCCGAATCAACATCACAATACAATGAAAGTCGAATAACAGAATAAATTCTACCGGATAATGTACGACCTCATGAGAATAAATCACACAAGAGTAGTAAATAAAATGACTAGCGGGATTAATTCTAAAGTGAACAGTAGGCAGCTGATGAGAAACTGTTTGGCACAAAATTAGGCACATTTCAAAGACACTCAGATCATGTATGTAAGGCAATTTGTCATGATTATGCGATTTACACCTGAAGGAAGGCATGGAATATTTGCCATCGGGCATTCAGAGCTACCGTAATCCATAACGTTTATCAAGACGTTCAAAAACATTTTTCCGACGGAAACAAGCTCAAATACTGGTAACCTTACGTAGGCATCAACTCTATGAAGGATGAAAATTCATGCTTTATTTCCAAACGATATTTTTCTTCATCGTTAAGGGAATACAGTTGTTTTATTGGTTGTTGCTGTCTTTTTTCGTTCTCGAAATACCCTACTATCACTGGATTACGGTAGCGTATGATTTCAGGCAGTAGAAGCAATGGGTCGCGACCGTGATTTGACTGTACGACCATCCAACAGTCAAGATTTCGGGTAGCCACTGAAACCTAAGGTCTAAAATTCATACAACGTCGGAGGGACTTCATTGCTCAGTTATTGCGAGCGCTACCTTCGAGCAGGAACGCTATGTCCGCATTCTAAAACCTCATCGACTCATATATCAGCGAATTTCCCCTAGTTGAGTGATAATGCTGCCTTAGTTGTTTTTCATGAGATCAGACTCGAACATCGCCTTCATTGCTCGTTCGTTGGTGGGCCTTTTGCCTTTTCTTAGACTTCGATTCACTGTGAGACATTATGTACATCGGACAAATCCAACATTTGCAGATTGGGATGACAATTTTGGTGAGTACGACGTAAACGACCACTAGTACGCACACGTAAACCAACACGTCTGTGGCCATCATTACGAATTCACCAAGCGAAGAGACCCCGTTCACCCAAGACATCGGGTTTAAGAACCTGAAAAATTTTGATTCATGAAATGGTCTTGGTTCTCCTGATGTGAAAGCGAACGTCTGAGGTTAATAAGTAATCTAACTGCTTATAAAACCAGTTCATAACAATGGACCTTTAAATCGATCTTTTTTCCTGCAAATTTTCTCATAACATGCTTGTTGAACTAACAATGATAGATTCTAGATGAAGACATTAGTTATAAGTGCAGTGCAAAATAAAAAGCTCGCTCAAAAATACGGGGTTTTAACTCTTTTCGAATCAATTAAATCCAATTTAATCCTGAAATGAGCAAAGGGAATAGAGTCTACATAACTCCAACGATGCTGAGATATTCGTAAAACGCTGATGGTAGCGTTAGGTAGAAAACTAGGTGACAGAAAAGCAGAGCAAGGATCTCTGTGGCGCAATGTGTAATGCGCGAGACTCCATAAAGGGAAATCGGGCTCGATATGGCCTGGGATCCAAATTTTGCGAATATTTCAGCATCGTTGTAGTTGTAATTCACATCATACCCTGCCGTTAAAATCATGGTAGGCAGAAAATAAAAGGTTGACACAGTGTACATACTTCGAAATGCCAGTGAGGTTGATTTGGTTGCACGAAGGGCAGCTGCCTACCATCTCATGCCATGTATTGCGCTCGATATCAATCTAAAGAATTGTAAGTGAACTGTCGAAATAAGGCTTGAGAGGAACAACTGAACAAAGAAATAATGAAAAGCGGTGGATGACGGGCAAGCGATTTTGCGAAGGTATTCGCCCCAATTCGTTTTTGCTTTGAGTGCTTGTTTAGATGGTGGCTATGTTTCTCTGGTGCAGTACATATTTATAGGAAAGCCAACGCGCTACCCTCAACAAGAAAAACCTGCTACCACAATTTTATCGGCTTCACTCATCGAAAATCCGCTTGCAAACCTGAACAATCAGTGACAGAACAGAATCAGTCCCAATCCCGTGATTTTTTTTTGGCATACTCTGTGTTTCTGTCGGTTTCTTATACCATGCAATCCCAAATATCTGCGTTAGCGTTGTGTTTGTGATCCTTAATACCACGATAGAAACCCGGTCCCGCGCAAGACAAGGATGCACCGATAGTAACGCGCGCCATCGAGCATGGAACTTCGTCTTCAGTCTGTTAAAAAAGCAAACCTCAAGTGGCGTCTCATAGTATTGTATGATCCTACACACTGCCTGTTCTTCTCGTTGTTCATCTGCATACATGCATATCATTCTCGATCCCGAATCCACAATGGCCGGCATCGGAATAATCATCGACCTATTCGACGCCTGAAAAACTAACCACGAAATTCTATATTTTGCAAGGAAGGTCATTTTTTTCAACACCCACTGATTATCAGTATGGTCTTATCAGTATCTGATCTTTGTAAAGCGTGCGGGCACGAATATGTTGGAGAAACGGGTAGACCGCTCTGCGTCCGCATAAAAGAGCACTTAGTCGGTAAATCTAAATTAAAGCAAAATACTCCACTAGGTGCGCAAAGGATGCAGGAACACAACGGAGAAGATTTTGAGGTAGGAGTCACCATCCCTACGCAGGAATGGAAAACATCAGCGCGTAAAACTTTTGAAGCGTTTTGGATCAATGCCAAAAATTCAAAAATGAGCCGCAAGGAGGAGTGTTTGTCATCACGCGTGACCTGGCGCCATACCTCAGGCTAATCCAATGACCTGACGCAGACACAGTCCTCGCCCATGTATTACTCTGTGCGGATGCTATCCATCAACTAACTTAGATACTAACAACAAATAAACGGTAGGTGTTTGAATGAAGCTGTTTCTCATGCGAATGCAAATCGATTTGTCAAGTTTTATCTGCTGGGGTTATGAAAGTGTTTGGCTGAGTAGATCACATCTCAATTCGGCCTTTCCAGGCTCTGAAGAAGGCGAAACGTCAGCTATTGCATTCTAATAAATTCTATATTAACAACCTCGTGTCTGCCTATTGAAGAAAAACATTGAATTATCAGTATGCTTCGCCAAATTTTACCACCTATACGTTATCTAGTCAAGCGTTTCTTACAATTACTGAGACGGTCAAGCAATGAAAATATCGATTTCTCCTTGCTAAAAATGAGGCCTAAAATTGATATGCATTCTTCGAAAGTTGGAGAAAACCTCTGAAAGAGCATACGTTGAGATCATGGACATAAGTGGTGAAGGAGAATATCTCATCAGAATTCCTTTCTGTAGAATACTTAACGGCTCCGTTAATCTTTCCCGATGCGCCATACATCGTGACGTTAAAGTATCTGAAAAGAAAATGTTGAAAATGGGAGCACCTGGCCCAATTTCAACAAATCTTCATTCATTCGAAAAACAGGAGTTCATGACCTGAAAGCGATAACAGAAACAAAGGATGCCGCTTATTGGTCACTTGAAGATTTTCACCTACGGCTCTTCGAGCTACGTTTCTTAAGGAAATTTAACAAAATTCGTGTCCGTTGAATTTACGAAGTATCTATGGTAACCTGTTGCTCCTTGAGTCGACGATAATGGTGCCCGTAAAATCAGAAATCCTCGACGCATTGTGGAAAAATACCAGCCGATTACCATCAGCTTCTCCATGAACTAAAAGCTTCAATTCTTCTTGTGTGGTAGAATTTTTGAACTCTTTTTCCATTTAAGCCAAAACCAACCCACCTTGCAGCGTCACATGAAGGTTGGAACCTTCCGCATGCGTGACAATCACTTGACGTTGAGAGCCGTCATAGATTCGAGCGCTTTGAATCCACGGATACACCATTTCCAGAGGACGTGATAAGTTGAAATTGCCGGGTAACTGAACAAGTAAACCTTTTCATTTAGTTATTGATAGAACCCCATTAAGCACATTGCTAGTAACGACTTAGATGGAAGTACCACCGGTTAAGCGAATAGAGGAAACGGAGAACAAAATGTCATATGATGTTCCTTTATGAGTTCTGTCACGGATGAGTCAGGGTAAAAAAAATTTCTAACTGCAACGACGAAAGTCAATTCACGGCGCTCGTTACTTGCAGATTCCTGAGCACTTGGAAAACTAACCGAAATACTAGAGACATTTCTGTTTTGCCTGCTCTGATCATTCTGGGTCGAGCGTTAGGAAAAGCTGACGTACGATTAATGTTCACTCACTTTTTCCCTAGATTCCGATTCAAAAAAATACCATCCCAGACTTGACCTTGATGAAAAAGTTAGCGCATGGAAAGCTTCCAGAATGTAGAAAGAAAGAAAATAGGATAAAAGGCCAAAATCTAAAACTAATTTAGCAAAGTCGACTGAATGAGTCAAAAAATATAAGCTTCAGAATGAAGCGGAATTGATGCGACAGAGATCATAAGAATGTTTCACCAAAAAAAAAATATGAATAACCACAACAATGCTGACATAATCCCAAAACTCGTACCCGGGGCCAGATCGAACCACGACTTCCCTTTCTGGGCTCGTGCATTACACACTGCGCCACGGAGGCCCTTGCTCTACGTTCCTCTCAACTAGTTTTCTACCTAACGCTGTGAATATGTATATACGCGAATATAATCTTAGAACGACAAAGCGAAAAATAACTGTTGAGTCTGGAATTAAATGAAAACGAAACATGAAGAAACTTACATAGTTCTTTGCGTTGATTATGCTTCGATAGGTCTGCTCGTGGCAGTTTTTCACCTGTACGAAACACAACTTATTGGGTTTGAAAAACGGAGGAAAACAAGAGAAAAAAGTGCTGGTATACCTTTGCCTTATGAATTTCTTCCATCTTCACTATGCCGTTATTCACGTGGAATTTTCCATTCTCGTCCATGCGATACCAACCAAGTCGATCGAAACTGAAGCGCAACCAGTTTACTGCTAAGTATTACAACTTTCGAGATGTACTTTCTTCAGAGCAAAGAAACAATAATCATTTTTCGCAAGAAAACAGTTCATTAATCAGAAGTTATTTATAATAAACCATGAAAACGAAACCTTTTATCTTAAAAAAGAGTGATACTGCTTGATATTAGATCAGAAGATTCTTTTGTTTTATTTTGGATTGCAGAGAGTGATCTTTTCTAGGACAAGTCCGGCACCAATTTCTCGACCCCAGAGGGATCAGAGGCCTGGTTGGCCCGGAGCTAAATCGAACCAGGACCATGCTTGTGATGACGGACAACACTACCACTATGCTAGCGTCAGATAAGGGCTTGGAAGAGAGAAACAGGAACGAATAGAAACAGTGGGCTGTTTTCAAACCCATTGCTTGATTCTCTGGCATCAGAACACCCACCACTCACTTCTGAGCGATTCTCTGTTCTTTCAGAGATCATTCATCTACACCTTAACGTTTTGTTTGATTAAGTTCTCCCTGCTCTTCCAGGTCTTAGCCCTATTACTAGTTCGTCTGGATTTGAAAAATAGAAAACGGTACTTTAATTTTGAAACATGAGCTCTGTTCACTATGTACTAGCACGACACAAGCTCTGCCAGGTTTTGTCTCAAACTCTATGTGAAAATGCGCTCAATTACGAAAGACACTCACTTGTTGTCCGTGATCTCATTTAGAGGTTGCTTCCTTAATTCCTCCATCTCGCCTCCGGGATTTGAGTTTGCGAAGTACATGCCTGTCTCGAGTTGGTGGGTAGTACGACCTCCGGACGATACCGACAATGCGATTCGCCGTAAAGAATCCACGTATCTGAAAATCTGCCGGACTTAAAGTGTGGACTAACATGAAGGTGATAGGTAATGTATGGCCGACTTTCATATCTTGCCACCACATAGACATTTTCTCCATTTAAAGAAAGCACCAAAACAATTATATACGAGGAAATTTATTAAAAATAACATATAACTTATTAGTTTTACTGTTTTGCTCTAAGCTCACTTATAAATCAGAACTTCTTCCCTTATCGCTTTCATTTGAAAACGGTGAAAATAAGCTTAAAGGCTCAAATTCGACAAAAACGTGATTAAAATAGCTCTCTTGGAAGTATCCAAGATTTCGTTATCGACTACCGTATACCAGAATATTGCTTGCATATGGGCCATAACGAAATACTGTAATTGTTGAAAACCACGCTCGAATCGTGAAACGCAATAAATCAAAGGGTACAAACTACATACATAACTCTAAACAGCAAGAAACAAAGTAACAATTTGAGACTTAACTAAGTGCACTAAAATGAACCGCAAGGAGGAGTGTCTTGTCATCACGCGTGACCTAGCGCCATACCTCAGGCTGATCCAATGACCTGACATGGACCCAGTTATCGACCATGTATTACTCTGTGCGGCGGCTATCCACCAACTAACTTAAATACTTACAACAAATAAACAGCTCTGAAGAAGGCGAAACCGCCGAAACGTCAGATATTGTATTGTAATAAATTCTATATTAACAACCTCGTGTCTGCTTATCGATGAAAAGCATTGAATTATCAATAAGTGCAAATGGTTGAAACATCGTTTAAGATAGTATCGAAATGTCAAAAAAAAAATTCACTGGAACTTCAACATCAATGTTCTCGAAAAACCACCAGGCTTGCATAACTACCAATGTCTTCGTTAGATGATATTCGAAAATTATGCCAGTTTTTTCAATTCAGACGGCGTCGCTTCAATTAGCGTCCACTTTGTTCACTGATAAGACAACGCGAGGCTCAAATCGAACTATGAAAATAGCGCCTTACTTGAAAATCTAGGTTTAGTGCGTAGGCCTTCACATTGATAATCACTTTGAAACTACATAAACTTGTAAGTATTCTTTTTTGCTAAATAAAGGGAAAATAAGAACAATATCACTGAGCTTTTTATAGGAAGTAAAATTTGATGTGAAAGCCACAGAAGTGGGATGCAGCATAAATGATCGGTACCCAAGAGCTAGAGGAACGTCATCGAGCGATAAACCATTGACTCTAAAAGTTTCAAAGTGGGAATGGGAGCATTGAAGACGAATAGGATCAGAGCGAACAGAAACCTTTGATGAAGATCACTTGAACTAGAACAAATTTTTAAGCGTTTCAAAGGGAACGGCTCCAGAAGTTGTAGAACAATCAGACGTAAATAAAACATTTTCAGAATGTTTCAACTGAATAGAATGGTCGAAAAGTACGACGAATAGATATCGCATAAGCTGTATGAAAACTACATTGCAGTTTCTTTGCGTTTCTCATAGGCGACAGGACGACCCGCTTCCTGACTGCACTGGGAGAGGCAATAAAAATGATTCTGAAGAACGGCGGTTGAGGTTTCGTGGAAGGTTGGACGAAAATGAAGCAAGCGCTTCTCGAAATGGTGCTGTGAAATAATTGGCGGCTATACCTTTTTGAATCTTGGTGAAACTATCGTAGTAAGAAATCGCCAAGATTTACTTAGAGCATACGTTTGCAATCGACAGTAAAAACCCTGGGAATGACCACTTTTATTGCATGACAGCGAAAGACCACACGTCGCACTAGCAACATTGTAGAGATTGAAAGAACTCTCCCAAGCCATAGTTGTTTTTAAGCCCTTTGCCAGTTACTTATTGAAGTATTCACTAATGAATCCGTTACCCTGAATTTCGGAAGTTTCGCCAACTCAAGAGGCCTAGAATCTACTGTTACGAGTAAATAACTCATACCTCGCCGGAATCTCGTTAAAAACACGTGCAGATAAAAGTTTCTATTCCAGTTAATATAGTTGTTTATGTAGGATTCCGTTTAAAAAAATCTAGTCGCCATAGAAGTAAACATAACTTGGGACATGGTTCAAATCTGCAAGAAAAATGATTGAAGGGTGACCAACAACTCTGCATTCCAAAGGCAATATCTGTAGTGAAGACCTAAAAAATCCTAACCACTGCTATTCCAGGTCTGCAGACGCAAAAAATCTTTTCCAAACAGTAAAGTATCAGTGCAAGTGGAAATCTTGCAGTGGCATGGAAGACTCTTCGCAAAGACGTGCTACGGAATGCTAAATACTTGCTTAGTAAGTTTACTAGTTGTTGAAATACGTGAAGTTAGCCCACTGACGACCGTATTCTGTCCTAGATGTGGCCAATGCAAAAGACGTTTCCGCTTCTATTGCTCCAAATTCCTCTATTCTTACTCTCTTATTGTTTCATGATCCGTGCTACACATTGTGCGGTTTCCAGCAGTTATATGATGAAATACATTTCTTATCTCCACCATCCTAGAAGGTTTTCGGCGAGGACGGCTTCGGTTGCTTCTGTAAGGATTTTTGTTTTTCTCTGAGAACGTTGAATGCCGGTCGATGCTCCCTGGAATCTGAGGATAGCTGTGGTATTCCTACAGCTTCAGCGAATCTCTGCTAAATCGGAGACGCCACCATTATGCGCGTTGTCTCTGGGAGCGTTGTTCGATAGACGACAAAACTAAGTAACTGAAAAAACGAACTAGTACTGCAGTGGTTACAGGTGCGCTGTGATAAACATGTGATCGATTCCTTGCCCCATGCTCACCAAGCCCTCTATCTCTCCGAGGGGTGCAAATTGATATCAGATTTGTCTGGGAGGACAGCAGCACTGACTCGATACATACCACCATGGACCACCATGAGTCACTGTATGGACCAGATATGTATTAAATCGCCTCTACCGATGCTCGATGAAGTTGAATGCACGGCGCATCCACAAGGGATTGATGAATGCTGAGAGCTTTAGCCTTCAATCCTTTTGCTCCTGCGGCTTATGGATCCGTGGGGACTTCCCGGACAAGGTTGGTGGTGCCAATTTCCTGACCACGAATTAGATAGGAGGGTTGGTCGGTCTGGTGCAAGGTTGAAAGATTTTCACGATAGCGATTATAATATCAGGGTAAAAGAAAAACTATTGATTTGCTGGAAGGACACTGCAGAAAAGTAATACACTCTAGAGAAGGAAAATAAGGAAAAGGAATGCGTGCCGTTGATCGATCGTGGTGTACTCCACTTCAAGCCTCTCCCCAAACGCGCACGTACTTGCAAGTTACCAAGCCATGAATGTCTCAGATTGTTACCGAAGTACTAAGGACATTCCGTAAATGTCAGTTTATAATCGTCTAATCACCATGTAAAGCGACAAGTGACAAAATATTCCCATATACGTTGAGAAAAGCTTCTTCTGAGCTTCATCGATCCTCAGCGATGAGACTTATTTTTAGCTACAAGTAATAAGTATTTCCCAAACGAACCAGCAACATCAAAGAATATCACGTATGACGGACCAAGAATATCTCTGTTGAAAAACACCACTGTTCGGTATCCCTTCAAATTCAGTTCATAAATGTTAATGTAACCATCCGACAAATTGTTGTTTACGAAAAAGTTATTATTGGTATTTTGGTTCTCTGTGAAGACCATTTATAACCGAAGGCAGCCAGTTTTCCAACGAACATTTGAAAACTCCAATGGAAATGTAGGATGACCAGGCTAAAATTTTCGCGGTCACACCGCATCTCTTCGGATTTTCTAGCATATTTTTGAACGTATGGGAGAAAATGAAGGAGAACGATTGTATTAAGTGTTTGTTAATAGTAGATAGTTTGTGATATTATTCCTGCGAAAACCCAAGATGTAGGGCAGCGCAGTCGCCATCTATCGAATGAATGGAGTGTTAACCTTCCAGACTTGCTCTAAGATCAGGCAAATGAGCAGTTTGGACGAATTCCAAAGCAAACTACCTAATTTTTGAAAAATCAATATGACCGGCTGAAATTCTGGACCTCATTAACAATAGTCGAAGACATATCAGCCAGAAAACTAATAAGGATAACACTGTATAAAATTGCTAAGCAGAAAATCTTTGGTATATTAATCAGACGACGAGCAATGAAAGCGCATCGCTTATGTTGGCTTTTTCTTTGGTATTTTCTCTCAAGCCATCAAAATTTCTTCTACCCTCATTGGTTAAAGACATAGCAAAACCTTTCTTGAGTGCCTCCATCCAACTGTGAGCGAATAGTGCTGCGATCCTTCTCGATCCATCGACCGTTGTTGTAGTCATACGCCGTGTAGACGAAAGTGGCGAACGTTGTTGGTTGTTCCAACTTTACAGCGGTATACGTCTGATTTCTGAAAACCCTGTTTAGGTAGCAGTTTTGCCTCGTCAAAAACATGATGTTTTTACACAAAGTGACAAGACATATTTAGTGCATTCAGATGAGATTTTTCGCGCATAATACGGTAGTGGGGCGCAAGTACGGTAGCAGTTAGAGGTGCCAGAACAATACAAACGTGATCGTTGGTCCATCCCCGTGATCCGAGCTTACCAAGCCCTTCATGTACCAGGTCGAAAAATTGGTGCCAGGCTTGTCTGCGAGGATAAAACCACTGATCTGATAAGTCGCCAATCCCCACAGGTCAAGTAGGTATTCAACCATTTCTAGGATGCCTAAGCTAGCTGAATATACATTTAAAGGATAGGTCAACGCCAACATATTTATCCCTCGCACTTTGTATGATCGCAGTTAAAGCGTTTTCCAAGTGCTTCTTGTTAGTTGATCAGCTGCGAGAAAACTGCGAAGAGATTATAAAACATTGAGTTACCAACCAGGTAACCATCACAATTCTGAATAAAGGCCACACACTAATCAAATTCCAAGGTGAATTTAATAATAGAAAACTGCTATGACATTATACTAGCACCGATACTAATTATATGCATCATACTACGCTTCCAGGGAAAAACGAACCGATACGGCCGAAACTTCACGTCACAGCAAAGCTTGGCGTTACTGCCCGTCGGGCACCCAATTGGTGATTGATTCGGAAGGAAGGTCCGATAACAAGACGTAAGCTAAAGCATCAAATGAACGATTACGGTGATGAAATGAAAGGAAAGGAAGGAACGACTCACGAAATCTCTCTTCGGATCTTCAGGGCACTGCGTGTACTGATGCGATTCGGCTGTACAACTTTCAGATGCCGCATTGCATTCACAAATGCAGTCTGCTTTCACTTCAGGAATACCGAACTGGTATCGCTGAGTTACCTGGAAGAAACACTAGTAAGCGATAATTGATTCATTTAATTTCATTTCCTTTAACCATTTTTTCACTAACGTGCAACGTTCAGAACGTCTTGCAGCAAAGTGTGGCACAAACGATTTAAGGAGCTTTAACGCCACTCTAGTGATGTTATCATGTTCCAAACTTTGATAAAATCAATAGAGGAACCGAAACCCAACTTTCGAATTCCGTAGTAAATTCTCGCGGAATGTTCAAAATATTTCACCTTCGGTTATTCTACTATTGCTTTCACTGCCGAAAACAAGAAAGTGTTCAGTACGGTACAATGGAAACGAGGTCGAAAACCATATAACGGGGGTTTAAATGGTAAAAACTTATCTAGTAAATACGAAATTCTCACAAATGTGAATATTTGCTAACGATACCGGATGGTGGTGTTCAAGTCGATCGAGACGAATTGTGTACAACCACGACGAGGCGACCTGATTCCGAGATGGCTGATGGTCGTGGTCCAACGGGTCGGTGACACCTTCTTCAAGTCGAAAGCAAACGGTGGTGTGTAGGCCGAGATAGAACTGCATCTGCATGCCTCCTCGTGATATCGCAGCGTTTGCATCTGAATCAGAATCTTTCCCTGCTAATGGACTACGTTCGACGATGTGATTGGTGTGCATAACGACATCGTTTTGGAGTGTTTCTCATTTGTCGTGGTAAAGGCTTACTTATATTTACTCCCAGTTGTTACGTTAAACTAACGGTTACTCCTTTCTTTATAAATTTTGTACCAGTTGTGAACATCGATAAAACAATCGGACTTTTAGAATTCTGTGAGACTAAACGAAGTTACAAAGTTAACGTGACTTCATAAAATACGCATTTAGTTTTGAAAATATCTTCATTGTTGACGTTTGGTCTTTCGGAAATATTTCTGACGCTCAGTGATAGATGACTATCAATTAATACATCAAAAGTTCAGGTGCATACTGAGACATCGATGTGACTTACTTGAAAAGAAAACTTCAGACTTACTTGTAGATGCCTGAGCGATCACGACGGGCGTCCTCGAGCAGTGAGGCGGTTGAATAGGAAACAAATTCCGAAAAATGTCCTCTGTCGGTCGTTGTGGTGTGGAAAATTTGAAAGAATACAATAATATTAAAAAAAGAACCAGTCGCGGAGGCCGCATTCTGAAACACTTCAGTGATTCATTTAGTCAAAAAAAAACTGTAGAAACTCATAAATCACTCTAGCCCAATGTAAATAGAAAAGTAACAAACAGATATACAACGAAAATTTCCAAAATAATCTACTACTATTTCTAGAAGAACAACGTGGTTAGTGGACCACCCACATTCACTGTGAAGAAGACAAAGAAGGATTAACGGGCCACGGATGAGCAAGTCTGAGACCACAGTCTGGACTCAAATTTGATTCTGCAAGAACTCTCCAAATGTTTCTCCTACTTCCACTGTGTTTGTTAAATTATAGACAATCAACGTTTGAAAACCAACAATAAGGAAGCGGGTTACGCACTGACTACTTCCACCACTTAATTCTGCAATGGTAAGAGATCAAAAAGAAGTACAAATAGTTGGACAAAATCACAAATAAATGTTGCCATCCTTAGGGTTCACATTAACCCAGCTCGGAAGTGTTCATAACGCTGACATTTCTCGAAAATGAGAGCTAATTATAGCACTGTTAAGCAATGAATATATCTACTAAGAGAAGCACTGAGTGAACTATTTGAGCTCCAATACGAAAGTTTTTTAACGAAAGATCATCAAAAAACATCTAACGAAGATTTGAAAATGTGCTAGTTAAGTTTCTTATGACTAGGACATCGTCGTAAATAACTGTTAAGTTGATAAGACCAGTTGTGGACAAAGAAAGAAGGTGACAAGCCGAAAAAATGCGATGATCACTGGATGCGGCCGTATGCTATTTGCTAAAATGTTTACATTTTACTGACAGTTTGGACAAACAGTGGAGTAAGCAGCTCATTCAAGAAAACCGAAGAAATCTGATCCACGTCGATTAGTCAGGCACAGTGACCGGTCTCGAATTGTTCGCTGTCGCCGCAATCGAGTGTTAAAGTGTTATGTGAGCGGCGTTGACGCTGACTTAACTCATTCTGTCAAAGTACATTCTTTCGAAGGAAGAAAAAACTTGCACACTCCGGCTGCATGCAGGGCTGATAATTGAGCAAAGGCTATTGTAACCACGGGTAGATTTATAATCGGCAAAATGAAAAACACGTTTAGACAGACTTTGGTATATGGCAGGATGTTCAATGAAGTGTTGATTGAGGTTGCCCAGAGTTTCTAAACAACTAAGAATAAAGGTAAGCGACTCAGAGTGAGATTTGACAGAAACGACGATTTTGGTGATGCAATCGGAAAGGTTCGGAATGTCTTAACTTATCAGGAAATGACTAACACAGATCAAATCAAAGCATTCAACGAAAGATGAGCCTACATTTGCCATAAATATCGCAACTGTGAACATCCACAACAAAACCGAATTCATACACGAAATGAAGGACGGAAAAAATTGAGGGTTCGCACTTGTTGCATTACGCGGCCACTTCTCATGAGCCCAGACATCGCAGAAGCTTAAATTGTTTGCTATCGAACCAATTCTCAATATTTGATGCTCGTCCAGAGAGGGAAAAACAATAGTTGGTGGAAGTCTGCAAACTATTATTACTAGTTTATAAAAGTGTCGTGGTCAAATTCAGCGGCTTCGTACTGAAGCATAGATCTCAACTGCAACAAAAAAGTCTATCTTCGATGATAAACCAAGGCACTTAATGTTGTACATCTCTTACGTCTTCCATGAAATCACTCCAGAAAGCAGCTAGTAGTAGCCATGAGGAATGCCCTGCTGGTGAACAGGAGGTATCACTTTCGCCAATCAGATGCGATCGCAGAAGTCCAGGGTCAGACGCGTGCACTGACCGCGGATTCGATCCTATCGGGGCTCAATCAGCTCATTACAAACTATGGCATCACACCATGCGTGCTAATGGACTACCGTATCTCCTGCTGTAACATTGTAACAGTGATGTACAATGAAAGCCTACCTAGGCTAAACTTTAAGAACTCAGAGCCAAGAAATAGAAAATCGAGTATCAGGAATGGAATTTATGGTATTTTAAAGATAAAACAGCTCACTGACTACGATCCACCTATTAAAGTCAGCTGAAATTATAACATTATAACCAGTTATATCAAACGGGGTTGATCTTCATACTTGAATTTACACGGTAAATTAAACCTCGGAAAATGTTATGCAAGGGATGTCAAAGATCAGTGAAAATTTATATATGACCTACAAGTTTAAGCATTATTAAGCGAAACATTAAACAAAATTAAACAAGATAGAAAAACTAGCTGAGAGAGGCGAAACAAAGGACCCGCATGGTGTGGTGGTGAACGCACTACTCCCCGGAAAGGCTAATAGCGCGTTCGTTCCTCACAACAGACACCTGCGGACCGGAGTTTGGAAATATCCCAGCATCGTTCTGGCTGTATTTGGCATTTTTTTCCTGCCGTGAAATATTAAAGTAGGCAGCAAATAAAAACTAAACATTAAACAATATAGTTCTCAGGATCGACTTTTACTAGCCTCGGCACTGGATTGATTTCCTAGAAAGAAAACGACACTTTAAACAAGATACTTCTTTTAAGACCAAAAAATCGTTCGAACCTAAGCATACCCATGAATCTTAATGAAATGTTCAAATTACCACAGATTCGCGACAAACAGTAAGAAAAATCAGAAAATCACTTAAGGTAATCGAAGCTCTGACACCATGATATAAGTTCTTCGCCGATTTCTTCTCGACCTCAATCAATTTCGGCTTCATAGAGAACTGGTTCTGCTAAGTAAGTTATGTATTTTGACGAGCTCCTGGTCTAAAAAAGAAAAGTAAAGCGGACGACGAGTAGTCGCCTGCGATGAGTTTCGAATTTGCTCGCTGATTCGCCGTATCACACCTATCAAGGTGACTGTGAAAAAAAGCGGACTAAACGCTTTGCGGTCATTTTCAAGGTAACTGATGTGTTCGTTGCAATCGCTGATAGTGGCTGATAGTGTTTTGAATGAATGACCCTCATTCTGACCAGCTCTCTGTATTTACTTCACACCTACCACTGGGACTAACTGCCGAACATTTGAAAACTCTAAACCAAATGTACCGTACTCTTTCACATTCTTATAGAATTAGTGCAAACATTTTTTGTCTTAAAAATTACCTACTTTAGTCTGGTCATGTTAAAGTGAAATTTAAAATAAGTTAATTAAAGTTAAATTTGAAGTTGTAATAATCAATGCCCAGGGTTTTTTGAACATTATGCCTTTCCAAACAGGGAAATGGCAACTGGACAAGATTTTAAACGCCATGACTGTTCAAAACTTGAGCGAATCTACCCAGAGTCATTAGCAAGGCAAATTTAAATATTGAGCGATAAAAGCAGATTAAACAGTGAGCAGTAACTACATCATGAATCGATTGAGTACTATTCACGCAGAGTCCTACAGCCGTGCCATTTCATCAGATCGAGTCGAGATCACAGTTAGGAAAGCGATAGGCGCCAGCGGTAGCGCCGATTAGTGATATGATGATGGATGGCGTCAGAAGGTGGTAGGGTGAGTAGACGTCTAGACCGACCGACAGACGGTGGGACTGTCGGACGGGTGTCATTTTGGGCATCTTCGTAACAGAACGTATGCAACCCCTTATGGTGGATATGATAGATAGGCAATAATCGGGCGAGACACACCCGAACAACGAAACAAGACGATTACCGCTGCGCAACTGCCCACTATCTTTTATCACTGCAATTGCGAGTTTCGAAATGAGTTACGCAATACTCGTGTACCTGGCGCGAACGTCGCCGGGCAGTAGGAGACTGACAGCCAGAGAAGTACAGTGCAGATGGAACAGGCGAGTGCATGGCCACAGAGCATATACTACCGTTAGAGACTGAGCCATGACCAAACAGCATGGCAGAACCAGAATAAAGGAGTAATTTCAACTTTCGTTCAGCAATATTATGCTTTCGCCTTCACGGAAATGTTGTATCGATCACACCACCATCATAGAGAACTGAAGGCGAATTCTCGATGATTGTGGCACCACCCGTTAAGTTGGTGTATTGCGAAACATTAATAACATGAAACATGCATGAATGACAGAACGTCTATGAATGTAGACAATTTTAATGATAGAATGGGCAAGGTAGAGACATTACAACATAGTTAATGGGCGCACCATTTACAAAAAGATGATGGCTCAACACCCACCAAGATACAAATAAATTTTGACTCCTTGCAGACGAAATTCCCCGTGTAATGTTTTCTAATCAGTTTTGTGCTCGTTTAATTCGTTGGCCAGTACCATTTCATTACTACCTATGAGATTCCAAGTTTGGCCTGTTTAGCTTCCCCTCGATGGCATGACTCTCTCTAATAAAGAAGGTAAACAAGTCGATAGACAAGCGAGGAACGGCAGTACTAAAATGAACACTGTTCCATCTCTAACGATAGCTTTAGCAGTAGAGGAATAAACTCTGCAGCGTTGATTGAACAGCACATGAAAGGAACTGCGTGACCATATTTGAATTCGATTTGCATTTCGAAGTGGTCATTGTTTGCTTTTATTCACGGATATTACAGACGAAAGAGCAGATTACCAACCGTTCACATCGGTTGAATAGGTGAATGGAGCGGGTAATACGATGGATGAGAGAAGGTGGCGCAGAGAGGGAACCCCCCGAGCTACGGCCCGGGACGCATGAACTCCGACAAATACTCGAAGACGCTTCGAAACCCTTCTTCTACCCCTATATTCGAGACATCCAACTAGTAATTTACTTGACATAAAAACTTTTTGAAAAGCTGGAAGTGAGAAGGGTATAGCAACTGAACAACACCATCTTGATGAAGGTGAATTTCGAACACCTACAGTAAGGAAGAAGGTGAATTTCGAACACCTGCAGTAAGAAACTATTCGTAGGCAAATTTTGAAACCTCATAAGATGAAAGCAAGCCTTATGTATTAACTAAGAGAGGGACAGAAAAAAATACTTATGTTGCTCCAAAAAATTTTTAGATGGATTTTTAATAGTTCTATGAAAACATTCATTGTATGAAGTTTGTGCATAATTCACAACAGGCTGGAATTTTCGAGGCAGAAAAGAATACAAAAGAAAGAAAGCTCAATGCTAAACAAAGTCTGTTTGGATAAAATCTTTTGTAAGTAACATAGTTGGTCCCGAGAATTTTCTCATGGTGTTTTGCCGTGCAGCAGAAGTCGAGGGTCTAGCGATGGAGTCACCGAAGCAATTTATGTTAACTTTGTCAGAAAAACATGAGGTGTTCTCTTTCCGTGTTATAAGAAAGTTTATTGATTAGCGAGCTTCGCTGGCCACTGTTTTCCATTTTGAGGTTAGCTTGAAAAAGGCAATTTACGGCCAATGGGTCTTTCGTTAGTACGAAAGAAATTCGGTTCGATTGTTAGCACGGCTGGCTGCTCTGTAAAAGCCAATGAAGCACCGCAGCACTACTCAGTGAGATCGCCTACAACAAGGAACAGAAAACTCCACAAGACAATTGGAGAGGAGTATACCCATCGACATCATTATGACGGAAATATTAAGATATCATTTTATCGATTGTTCTACGTAGCCTTTATATTTTACACATTTTTACCGACACAATATATCCTACAATTGTTGGCTTCACATTCTGGAAATATGAGGAAAGCAGTACTTCAGTGATCACTTCCTCATAAACAGTGCAATGAATAAATAATTAATGTAAAGGCCATTTGAAGGCGATATCAAGCGATGGGTGATCATGGAATAACCAACTCCAATTAAGGAACATTCGCTTCCGACTGAAATGAATTTCAACACCCGTGAAGGCGTGAAATCATTTGAAAAAAAACTGGAAAAGCGGTTAAGAGCGAGAAACGTGGATTTCGTTATCATTGCCCCAGAGCAGAACACAGAATATTATTTGCGCGACGAATCCGAGAAGAACTCATCCTCGTCCAGCTATCCCTACTCCAAGCCATAACAAACCCCTTACAGCCTTGAGTAGAAGATGACTAAAAGTTAAGGTAAAGGCGTTCAGAACATTTATATTTGAAAAAAGTTGTTCTTATTGGAATCGAGTATTGATCGAAGCACTGAGAGCGAGGTATGTGAGGGAAGAAGATACTAACAGTCCACGATCAGCACTCCGCTGCACAATGGCAATATTTGCGCAGTGTTTTCGCGTAGCGCAAGCAGGGCGACGATGTTGGGTGGCTGCATGGTGGCTGGAGATGGTCAGCTCGAAACAACAGGTGGAAATGGATATGCTCGGGACTACGACGAGACAATACGGTTTCGAGATCGGCCCACTTCACCTCCAGGCCCTCTGATGCTCGAAAAATTCACACGAACATCTCGCAAGCACACAGCAATCACACACAGCTGCAACGCAGCGGGTCACTTGCCATTATCGTCCATGGAATAATCCAAGATGATAGCTTTGGCATGGATGTTGAGATGGATATACTTGAGATTCATTGTTTGTTGGAAGCCGGTCAACGATGGGCTAACAACCTATGCAAACAGATTATCAACATGGAACACTTTGCTGAGCAAAATATCCTCTAACACTATCGTGTCACTGATATATTTCTGTATGGTTTTCAAAATAAAATGGAAAAAATGAAGCAAGAAATAGGGAGCAGTATCTATTTTTGCTAATAGAACTAATCGAAAGCTAACTAGTGAAATCGTGGAAGGGAATGTTGTTCTTGCCCAGTTAGATAGTGAAATCTGTCAAAACACACTAGAAAGTTGGAAAGCGGTGAAATGGAGCGGTGTCATAAAGTGTTTAGTTTGGTTTAATGCCATAAGGTGGATCCGGTATTGAATGGAGTTTCGGAGGAAAGAAACGAATTGAGTGAATTGCCTCCTCATAACTCCGTTAACGTAGATTTGGCCACCAATTCCAGCAACTGCAATATAGGATTAACAGACGAAACCAGATCCTAGCAAAGACTTATATCAGTTTAGGAAGGGCTAAAAGCAAACTAAAAGAAGGTCAAAACTGCTTGAAAGAGCTAACTTAACGGAATTTTGAGCAGAAAACCGTTAATATACTTTGAACATAGTCTTTATATACACATTAATTACTTTAGTATGTGGCGATTAAAATAGGGGTGCAGATGGGAGCTTAGAACTAAAACGACCACTGGAACCACGAAGTCCTGCACCTAACCGCGATTGTAGATGGTCGGATGATATGGCTACGGCGGTTGCGCGGAAAGAGAGGGAAGTAGGATGCTGAATGAGAACGAGAAATGATATGAGAAAGTGGAAGTAAGCAAACGAATAGAAGGCAAGGCAGGAGAGACAGAAAACCAAAAAAATGAGATTAGGAAGGATGGAGGATTTGAGATCAACATTCAATACTTATAATACGCCGACTTTTCGACGATTATAGCTGAGTCACCCATTTGGTAAATCTGTATAGCGACAATTCTTCATTTATGATTATGGTCTTTCTGAGGAAGCGTCACACAGCTATATGCGCTAACATGGAAATAAGTCCAATCCTTCAACTTTTATGCTTCCTTAATCCTTAGCTGCTTTTGATCGACTAGAAAATGTATGTCTAGAGGTCTTATCGTAATCTGGGCCATGGTTGTCCACTCAATTTTCGAAAAAGAAATCATAGAAAAAAAAATGAAATGCAAATTACGAGTTAAAAGGAGAGTAGTACTCATGGTTGGACAGCAAAGAAGACCTGGGACGGTTAGCAGAAAAAATTTATTTCTACCATTCCTCCGCCTTTTTCAATCTTTTCTTTCTTGGATAACCCAAAATCACTGGAAGATAGTGTCCGAGAGCTACTCTCAATGGAAGCGAAGCCACATACCCCTTCTGCTCTTCTTGCTGGTTTGCGAAAGACGTGCCGAAGAAGTTAGCGATTTTCCGTTTCGGACGCGCCTCGAGCACCCGTGGTTTCCGCCTTCAGCAATTCGCAGCCGCTTATCGTTACTGCGATCATTGTGATCAATCAAACCGCGAATTTCGGATCCGTCATTTTATAAGGTCAAGGAATTGGTACGTCAATAATGTTTTGACGCCCTCTATTCTCGTCTCGTGATGAGCGTTTTTAGCTAGAAAAGAACTAAACTGTTTTAAACCAATCAACTCCACACTTCCTAATATAACTGATGGCCTTCATTTCGTGTTATCACTTCTAAGAAAATGCTAAGGCAGACTTTGTCTTGCGCTTCCATGTTCTTTTAGAGCTTTAAAAACAACTGTTGACCGCCTTGATAAATATAGGGAGGCATGAAACAACCTAGGAAAGAGAAGCTGTCAAAATTCTATCCACAATCTTTGGGTTATTTTCACAATTACATAACAGTTCACAAAAAACAGCTACTTCAGTTAATTTACCCTTCTTTGCTGTTAATGTATTCTCAGAGGTTAAAAATTTTGTTGAAATGCAAGCCTTTCACCGACATCAGGGTTCAGTGGACCAGAGCACACGACGCTAAACCGGAAAGCATCTCCTATCGAAATTTTGGCACACTCTGCTCTCAAGTATTGTTAATTTACTGATATTTTCTGGACCTTTTTCCCTCAATCGCTCCGGTCAGGGAACTTCTATGAACACTTTACGCTCCTAAATTGGTTTAAGCGAATCTTAGGCTTCAACCTTGCTCATTTTCAGAAACAACAGCTTTTTCTCACATTGGAAGTAATCTCCTATCGATTATTCATAATTAAATCGACTAATTGCAGCTGATGAGTCTTTTGCCGACCTTTGTCACATACGATTTCATCAACTGACAGCGGCGCCATTGCAGGCGTCATCACCACCGAAGAGAAGTCAGACCGCACTGTCCATCCGTCGGAGACCCAGGAATCCTCGCAAGTCCGGGTTCGCGGCGACTGGAATGAGTTCGTCCTCGGCCAATTGAAGGAAGATCTTTATCGCAATGGATGAAAAACCTCTGCCGCACCCTCCCATATGTCTTCCGTCACACCTGTACGACGACGACGGTGAACTTCAATGAGTGATTACGGTGACAACGAAAAAATGCGGCAATTCTTCAAAATCGCACATAAGCCGTAAACCACCACAGAAAAAGCGATTGCTTCCTGCTTTTCGTTATCAATCTCATTACATTAAGGACCATCTGCGTACAGATTGAGCAAGTTAATGATTTATAGGCTCAAAAATGGTCTTCTTGAAGTAGACGAGTAATAGTGTCAACTTTTTATTTACTGCCTGTTACAATCCCTCGCGGCAGGGTTTTATGCCACAACGATGCTGAGATGTTTGCAAACTCCGGACCGCAGGTGTCTACGGCGAGAAACGAACGCGCTATTACCATTTCCGGAATAATAGTTTCGTAGAAGAAGACTTAGCCTCCACCAAAATTTGAATGAATTTCAAAAAACTGGGTAGATATTCAGTCAAGCCACTTAGTTACTAAATTATGGCACAACTCGTTTTTACCAAAGATTGATCTGCCAGTAAAGAAAATGAACAGTGCTGCAAGGAATTCTACACAGTCGTAAATCAATTGACCATCCATCAAGTGCTTTTCGGCAAGAAATAGGGAGATTCACTTGTCACCTTTTCCTTTTTTGAAACGAAAGATTCACTGAAAAATAAAAATATGCTCCAATTTTTGAAATTGAAAGCCATAATAGGTGGGAGAACAGCTGCTGCTGCAAGCAGTAAACAGATTTTGATGATAACAAGGACCCCGGGATTTGGGTGACCAAGAAGGTGATTAAAAGTCTGGAAACTCGTTTTAGCAAGTTGCGGTCAATAAACCCTAGGATTACACAATTACACATGAATGGACAATCCCGCTCCATAGACGTACTCGCGAGAAAGGTATAACTTCACTTTCATCGATACCAAACGTTGTCATCCATCACCGTCCTCCCATTGCTCGGCGAACACAAAGAGGAGGGCACTTTTTATAAAGGGCCTTTATTTCTCTGTTTCTATAGAAAATGCAACTACGGATTTCTCGCCGGGCCCTGCTATAGGGAGAACGAAAATGGATTATTCCGTGGCATTGCTGCTTACTTGTCACGGATTACACCGCAGTAGCGCCGTACTACCCCCTCCACCTACATGAATTTCAAGAAATATGCGGGATCTTTATTGAACGTTCAATCAGTTAAGAGCTGCATAAGTTCCTTCTCGTTACCGCACTGGTGAAATGCAAGCGGTAGGAGATTTTTGGTTTTAGAAAGATCTGTTGAGATCTAAACTGTTAGATGTAACTCTCTGGAAACTGAGACAGATTTCGTCGACGTAGATGTCAACGCGAACGATCAGAATTTATCAGCAATAAATTATTTCCTGGGAGTTCCAATCATCTCTCTCTTTCTCTCTCTTTGAAAGGCAAGTCAGATTATGATGCATGAGATGTATCTGATATGATTGTCTGTTAATCTCCATTCCATCCGATTTAGTTCACGAAAGTGAAAGGAAATGTTAGCTACCGACAAAGTGCTTTCTTTTGCAACATTCCTAAATCCTCTTCTAGCGCTGATATCACTAAATTTTTCGTTTGGTATGGATGTTTTCACATGACAGATATATTTCTAGAAATTGATATAGCTCGGAAACATTTGTGTTGACCATGTGGGGAAATTGTTTACATGTTCCAAAGTCTTCCAGAAGTGGGTTTACGCTGCGAAATTCGCTTCTTTCAATCACTTTTATTGCCATTCAAAACATTAGACGACATATTTAAAGATGTTCTTCGAATCAGTTTACCAACTACTGAATGTCGGAGACGAAGTTATTGAATGAGAAGAAGCTGGGGTGACCGAACGATCGAGGAGGACAAGTTGGTGACAATCGAGCAAATCTGTTTGGATCATCGTATCAACGAATTATTCGCGATTAGTGCTCATGTCAGCATTAATCGCTGTCATCAACCGTCTAGAAAGAAAACCAGCACTACATTTCCTCGTACGTTAACGATCCGTTTTGTTTTCTTGTTAACTATACGCTTCCTACGGAAGTCGTTCGCATTCTTCCTGCGGAAGACCTTCTTTCTGCCTTCACTGCAGGATCGGCGATTCAAATTACAAAACTATAGACAATGTCAGATGGACGAGCAAAGTTGATTTTCTATTTACCCATATGGTGAATCGCAGGTAATGAAACTGTCAAAAAAAGATCCTTGGAGCTATTCAAACTGAGAACACTACAGTGATGCTGAGATATTTGCAAAACCCCGGACCGTTGTTGTCTGCGGTGTGGGCCGACACGCTATTACCATTTCTGGGAGGTAACGCGCCACCACCACACCATGAGAGTCCTTCGCTTCGCTATTCTATACAATATTCAAAATTTCACTCGCCTAGAGAAAATTTGCAGAAACGAAAAAATGAAAACAGTACGAAACTATTTGTTTCCTTTGCTAAATTTTAGAGATTACACAGTGAGCCTCGCTCCGTCACAAAGGCATCGTT